AGTTGTATCATGTGTTCCCAAAGAATGCTTTGGTAGGGCTCGATCTTCAAACCAGCATGACAAACAATATTCTTGACTTGACCGGAATCAATCATGCACACACATGAAAAAAGACCAGTCACTTCCATAAACTGAAATAAATAAAACGCAAAATACTGTACAACATAATCTCCGCAGGATTTGAGATACAATGATTCACGGAAAATACGAACCCAAATTTTTACTGCGAGCAGGGATGTTTGAAAAACATCAGAATTGACGGTAGCCGCCATGTGTGATAAGCTGCCTTCCGCTCCCTCTAGCTTCTTGCCGGGAAGACTGGGGGCGGGGCGCGAGCACTGGGAGGTGGGGGCGCGAGCACCAGGAGCCGATCTTTGAGGGTGCCCAAATAAACGGTACCATAAGCATAATAAACTTGCGCTGTCATGTACTGACAAAACGCGCGACTCATGCACCGTGAGTTGTATTTATACCTTGTAGATGTCGCGCCTCTTACGAGTCTATGCCATGCATTCACTTCATAACATAAAGCATAATATCAGCCATCAGTGAAGGGATGTCCAATAAATACACAGGGCTACTAGCAGGGAATTTCTCAAATTTCTCACTGTTCCCTGCTAATTTACCCTGGTATATATAGCACTGAGTACAGAGCTTATCAGTTGTCACGCAGTTCCAAGCATACTATTAGGTGACAGTATGGGTGTAGAGAGAAAAAAAAAAGTCGAATTGAGAGATATGTTGTGGGTTTTTGTAGCTGGAGAAATTGTCAAGTTCTGAGTGTACGTGTGTTTGTGTGTTATAAACACACCAGTGTCGTAGTGTTGCACTGTAGCTTTAGTGAGGCAATTTTCATCAGCAGTCGTCATCATTGTATGGCTATAGTGCCGCTGCTTTCTAAAATTAGCAACCATTCATTGAAAAAGTTTAAAGGAATATAATTTTAGATCCTGCGTTGATTGTAACTATATACACTTGAAACACAGCAAGTAAAGCAATTGTGGAGCAGCAATTGGTAATTCTGATTTTTATTCATTTAATATTTCATCAAATCTGGTATTGAACTCACATCAAGAGACAATAACTGATGAGTAGGCGCACCCCCAATTTTCTATTCCTAGTGACATTTACCATGATTTTAAAGTTGGGTTTTACTCCATTTCAAAAACATATTTCTCGTTTTGATATCATGAGAAAATCACTGGACGGGCCTCATTCTTTATCGGAAAACATCAAAAATAAAATCCGTATACGTCCTCTTGAATCTCGAGTCGTGATGTGACTGCATTCCTTTTTCTTGCAAGTCAAATATTCGCGTCTATATACTTGTGTAGGGATTAAAAAAGGGCATCAAAATGGACAGGAATGGCCGAGTATTTTTTATTCAATTTTTTACGGAATAGAGCAAGAATCCAAAACCACAATCGAGGACTTCTCAAATTTTCCCCTATTTCTGTCGTCGAAAAACTCCGAAGAAACTCGGTAGTTTATCTCCATTTGATCTGGCGATGAATGCAAATGGAAGACAGAAGTTCGCAGGAAACATTTATAATGCATTCGCGAACGATCCGATGGCGGACGAGGTCGTGAACTTTGCTGGTTCTTCTCTCGGATTTTTTCTTCATCCAAAAAGTTTCTCAGAGAGAAACTGCAATGGTCCTTATATAGCATTGCCTTCAAGACTTTTTCTTATCTAACTGGTGGAGATGATTTAGATTATCTTCGATAAAAATTACACTTGACCTCATTTTCATCCCGGGACTTTCTGAAGGGACGTTGTTTGCGCATATAAGATTTCGCACTGCTGTACCGGACCAGGAATAGATTTCAATTTCCTTGCATTCCATCGTTTCGCAGATCACCTCTTCATCATTTTTCAAAGCCCTCAACTTTTCAGTGGCTTGCCAGAGGAAAACAAACCCTCTGCACAAAATCGTGGTTCCAGGACATTTCCGCAGATGAAAGAAAATCGCGGCTGCTTCAAAAGAAATAAAAGCTTGAATTCTAAACATTCAATTACTGTGACTAATGTCATCCAAGCACCACCAACTGAACGCTAATCAGATGAAAGTAAAAAAAAAGTTTTTCTTGATTCAATCTCCTTTTTGGTATGCCTCTCCCATAAAACACCACCCCTGATAAACCGCCAATATCCTCCTGGACAGACATTGGTGGTTTAACAAGGTTTGCGTGTACACTTGCTACACCACTTCCCGCATAAGGGGTGCATTCCCGATTCTTGAAGTCACTCATGCACAACCTCAGGAGAGAGAGTGTTGGGTGCCGAGCGTGAGGGGATGGGGGGCACAGGGGAGAGGAGTTCTGACGGCGTGCGATCCGGCTCCGGCGAGAATGTGCCTCACCGGTTACACCAGGGCGGCTGTTGCACAGCTGCTGTAATGGAGACTCTACCATGGGGTCATGGTGGAAACTTCCAGTGAGATTTTACTGTCTGCAGTTCAGCTGTTCATTTATTTATTTCGCAGTTCTCGGGAAACGGTTGCTGTGCTCAAGTTATCCAGCGAGAAGCATTTTGGGAGTTTTGATTTAAAATTAAACGAGTATCACCTACGGAGGATTTACATCCTCTTTTCCGGTCGTCTGTCCATGCGGTCAATACCTCGTGTGATCAACTCAATTTGGTCAAGATCGATTGATGGTCTTTCAATTCTCGGCCTATGTAGTCATTAAAAAAAAAACTGCCCTCGACGGAACGGAAAGTTCACAGAACTGAAAAACATAAAAAATCACTCATGTAGGTAAACACAATCGGCGAGATTCATCAGGCAACAAAATTGGCGTTCTCCACACGCACAGCAACGGAGTCCTTCAAAACTTCATTGAATGTCCGCTAACCACACACTTGGGGGGAAACTCACCTCAAGGAAGCGATTGCCCGAGACTACGAACATGGAATACATTCTGCTGGAGTTGGAACACTGTTTATGGCGTCTTCTCGTTCGCGTAATAGTCCCGGAGTTTCACACACTGTAGTGCCGATTCTGCAGTCGACATGCGCGTGGTGCGCCACTATAGTCACGAAACATCGACATTCACAACGGTCAAACGTACGACATGTACGAGGCATTCCCATACGATCCGTGTCCAACCGATACGTCTCCTGACACGCTCCGGATGCAGTTGCATCGCCAATTGCTTGGGTCCTCACTCCTCAGTATAGGGCAATGAGTCAGAAGTGTGTGAAGGGGGAAATGGGCGGAGTGCTCACATTTTGTACCGTATATTAGGGCAATCATGCATCTCATAGTCTATAGATGTCGCGAGTGTCAAGTGCTATGACGCCGCCCAAGGAAATTGGGGGGCACACAAGTATTCGGAGTAGCTCGCATATCGTGGACGGGTTCACGAGTCCTTATTATGTTCTTTTCTCGCGATAGGTGGAGAATCGTTGAATTTTGCCGGTGTTTTAGTTTGCATGGAGGAGAGTCGAGTGAAAAATCGTTGAAATTGGCAAATAGTGGGGTTGTTCGTTTATGTGAATGTGCTCGCATCGTTCGAAATGTTGTCTCGAACCGTCTGCAACTTCTTTTCCTGGTACTCGTGATTCAGTGGTCCCCAACGTAATCAGGTAAGTCCTACGGTCCACCGTGTGTAGTCGTTTTAACTTTCAAGACAGTCATTGGGGATCATCCTTGTTCCATTCTGCTTATGTTCGGGTTTAGAAAATAGCATTTCGTTCTCTACCTAATCTTTTCGAATTTTTTATCAGGGTGAACGTCCTCCATGGTCAAGCGGTCGAGAGGAGATGGTTCTGCTGACAGAAGTATTCGTCGTTACCGTCATTTCTCGTGATACTTGCCAATACCTTAGTTATTTTGTTCCATGCTTGTTCACTCGAATGATGGCGGATAATTTTTACTGACGTTAAACCGCATAGAATTCCTGTTTCGAAAGAGCAATTTATATTTTGCATGTCACTGTATACTACGTATTCGATGGAGAATGTGTCAAATTCGGAACTCGAATTGTCAAGATGTGATGAAGTGTTTCGGATCCAGGAAGTACTTTCGTCTAGTGTGATTGGATTAAGTCGATATGGAAATACTTCCATTGAATCTAGTATGGTTTTGATCTCTCGAGAAAAGAGTCGATGTTAAGAACTTATTCTCGTTTACCGGAGTTCGGAGCCTGCCAGATGCTCTCAAGATTCACTGGTGAATTACTACTGTCTTTTTTCGGTTGTGATCGTTCTCGCCCTCTCCGTGTTTAAGTATACTTGTACGTCCTTTTACAAAGAACTGTAATTCTGGGAACAACTTCAAGCGATTGGCTGTGATAATCTCGTCGTATGTACTACCTGGAAGGGAAATGAATGTCGAGTCTTCTCACTGTGCTTGCATTGAAACGGTTTTTCTTTTCTTATTAAGAATTTCCTGTTGTTCCTACGTAAGCCTTCTGGGCCTTCCCAGGACTTCGGTGGGGACAAGGCAATGCACTATTACTTTGGGTCAACTGCTGTATAGGATTGAGCCCTATTTTCAAAACACGTCATTGCTGCCGTTTTTTGTGTTGAACACTTGCCTGTGGGTACGGCTCGAGTGCGAAGTAAATGTTTGAAGAATTAGAGTTATGGCGACTGTGGAGAACAATTTACCATGCCAATAAAATTTTTGATCATGAGAAGGATTTATTTTCACCTGAGGAATGCAAGATCTTGAATTTCCTTGAAATCTGGATGGCTCATTTTGTTTCGTCTTCAATCAATAGAGAAAAAAAATTATTTCAAGAATGTTCAGATGTATTCTCTTAGGGACCCTGAACAGGATTTGTCATTCTGTAAGATCATATAGAGCGGTCAGTCGGAATGGATCGAAGCTGTTGACCGAGGTGCATTGGAGGCGTTTTCTCTGTCACTAGTTACATGGCCTGAATACGCTTTCATTTCTTTAAATTGGTTGTTGACAAATTTGGAACTTTGTTCTTAGAAAGTGAATATTTTGGTTGTTCACTGAGCGGGAGGAAAAAGATTAACACGGAAGTTGCATGCATGAAAGAATAGATTTATTTGATCAATGAAGAAAATATGGATCAGTCAAAAAATCACAATGGGTCGCGATTGTTGAAAAAAATAAAGCCAACTGACGTTCACGAAAACAAAATTTGGGACCAATGCTCGGTCAACGTTGAATCACATTTGGATGCAGTTTCTCAGCCTTGTTTGTTGATGTCATATCGCAGACGGTCGTAGTCTTGCACAAACTTGTCCAGTTGGATCGGCCACCGGCTTTGGCACTGAGTCGTTCCCAACCCACTGTGGTCAGCCACGCAATCACATTTCTGGATGTCAGGTTGTTGGGCGCTTTCCACGACCTTCTTGGCAACCACCGAGTAGAACTTCTTGGCCTTGGTGGCCTGGTTGTTGGCCGACTGGAACACTTCCATGCTGAACACCGTTCCGTTCGTCTCCAGGGCCAATGGCACACACAAGTCCTGCAATCAAGAAAGATGTGAGTCGTCGATCAAGTGTCTGAACAAACAGGAGAACTCTGAAAATTATCTTACCTTAGGGATGTTGATTTGCGCCTTGAGCTGCGTGTCCCCAACCATCTTCCTGGCGTCCTTGAGTGTGTAGGCAGCACGGGAGTCGTAGCCAATGGGCCACAACGGATCTCGCTTTTGGGCCTTGAGGCTGATGGGGTCCTTGGTGATGTAGTGGAAGGCGATGTCCCGCTCGTGCAACATACTCAGAGTATCGGCGTATGTGGCAGTATCGTCAGCGCTGATTCCACATTCGTGGCAAGACACCAGTACCATAGCTTTGCCCACTGCTGCACGGAATGGCAAACGGGCAGCGAACTGCACAGCATCGTGCACATTGGCCACTTCCACACCGGCACTTCCGATACCACTCCTGGACACAAGAGAACGTTTGTCCATTTGAATAGACTCACGGTCAATCTTCCCTAATGACATTAACACTGGAAACCCCACTGAAAAGTCATCTTTCAAAATGTTTAAGTCAAAAGTGCTTTAGCGAATTAACTTTCTCTTTGGTAGCCCGCCAAGATTCAAGTTTCTGCGAGTGTCTCCAAATAAAGAAAAAGACAAAGATGGCATAATTTTCATTTTGGGAGCATTAGCCAGATATAATTGAAGAATCCCAGGGTTTTTTGATGGCTTTCTAGAATGATAAGAATTTCATTTCATCTTATACAGTACTTGATTCTCATTTTATCTTAGCTTTTTTGACCCCCATTAACCCGCCACAAACCTCACGAACAAATAGTGGTGGCTTATCGAGGTTTGACTGCACATTTAATTAAATGATCGAATTTGTTTCCCTTGAAGAGTGTTGAGGAGGCAGTGACTCACGTTTCCAGGGCGCGCTTGAAGCTCGCAGCCTTGACCCAAATGCTGCCTTCGGAGGTTTGCACATGAGGCTTATCCTTGGGCGTTTCACCATTGTAGCCGACAAGCGTGTACTTGTTGTCCTTGGATCCAGCAGCAGTTAGTTCAGCGTCCACATTGTGCACGATGCCTGCGATTTGTTCGCTTGTCACGCAGCCGCCGTGGTCGACAGCAAGGATCACGTCAGTTGCAGCAGGAGCATCTTGTTTCTTCACCTCGATCGTTTCGGCGGCCATCATGACGCCCTTGTTTTCCAGCTCACACTTGACTTTAGTGGGAGAAAAAACAATGGAAAATGAAACGACGGAACGATTGGATTAACAAATCGGTACATACCACATTGAGGTGGCATCCAGATGTCCATGCCGACGGCGCGACAGGCGGAAACGTAGGCAGCCGCGCTGACACAAGCAGCCTCCTTGGCATTGGGCATGTTGTTCATGTTGGCAACATCTGTGTGACACATAGGCAAGAAGGCTGCGACGTTGAGCTTGGAGAAGCATGGCGACAGTGCGGAATCAGCCGACTTGAACAATTCGTCGCAAGTGGCCTTGTCGCTCTTGGTGAGGATCGGGAAGGGTCCATCGGAGAGGCGGCTCATGGCGGCGGTGCGTTTGCATGCAGTGGTGTCCAGGCGCCAGGAATCAGCGAAAGCCTCAACTGTCGGCATCTGGGTTCCGGTGGGACTCGCAAAGTCATCGCTGGGCTCGTTGTTGTAGTTGCCAAGCAGACCGCCGATGCGACCAAAGTGCCAGCCAGTCAGAGAGATGGTACAGGCGTCCCACGCAACCAGGCATTCAAGTGTGATCCCGCGGCCATTGTCAACTGAGATCTTGCCACTCTGGCGCCTGATTGTCACACCGTCGCTTGACCGCCACGGGAGATCCACGTTCTTGGCATTCAGAGTCACCTTGTAATCACTGCCGATGCGGATTTCGTTCGATCCCTGGATCAGCCTGAGTGATTCCCTCTTGCCTTCCTTGCCTGCAGCGTAAAAATTACATTAGACTCGCTCAATTCTCCCAAAATACGATCAGCTTTTATTTTGGTACGTTTCTTCTCACCAGATGCTGGATCCGAAGCGTAATCGACGATGACGGAGAACTTGTCGCGGGCGTCGTGAAGAAGCGTGTAGCTACAGGCACCAATGAACTCAAACGCTCGTCCGTCGAATGTGACGTAGTGTCCGTTTCCGGCGAGGATTGCGTAGGCATTGAATGGTGGCAGCACGGACGTCACACTCAGCAGCTTATCCTTGGACGAAGTCACGGTGTCGAGGAATTTGTGCCACTGGGTATTCATGTCCATGGTGCTGAAGGCCTTGCTGAGCTTGTCCATCAACTCCCGGTCTAGCTCCGGAGCCTTGCGGAAGGAGGTCCAGACAAACGGGTGGTGCTGGGTGATCTCGAGTTTCCCGTGCATCGGGTCCCAGACGTAGTTGTGCTCCAGATCCCAGGGGGCTGGGTGGCCAGTGGTGAGACCCACAACAATACCGCCGATTTGCTTCTGAGCCATTTGGACGATCGTGCGCATGTTGGACCTGATCATCTGCTCCAGTTCGTAGTAACGCCAGGCCCACTCCATCTAGAAAGATCAAGTAAATTCATTATTTTTCTTGATTGCTCAGAGTAAGACATTTTCCAGTTACGAACCGAATTGTGAACACGGGAGACCGTCTCTGCGATGTATCCAACCATGGGGATCTGTTTCAGTTCGTCGTAGTGGCCTTGAGCGAGTTGTTTACCCATCTGAACGTACTCCTTGTAATCATGGGACCACGCATCGAACTCTTGCATCATCTTGTCAATGACGCTATGGATTGAAAGAGAAAACGAGCCTTTCCAATGGCAATTCGTCACGTTTTGAATGAGATTTTCACTGAACTTACGTGGAAATCTGGTCCTTGAACTCGACAGCATACTCGGAAAAGTGCAGTTCCTCCAACCAGGATGCGTAGTCGTTGTATGCCTGAACAATCTTGGCAAGAGCCGGATTTTTAGCAGCTGCCTGCTGGTAGTCCTTGGCAAATTCTATAGGACAATTCATGGATGAATACGATGTTGAAAATTGTTGTGTTTGAGTGCACAAACCTTGAACAGTTTCGGAGTAGTCTTGCATCCACTGTGCGAGCTGCTTGGAGAGCTTCAAGAGTTCAGTCAGGGTTTGCTTGTACGTTCCCATGAGTGCTTCAATTTGGGCCTGTAGGGCAGCGTCGAAAGCGCGGAATTTCTTGGTGATCCATTCCTCGGCGTCGTCCGACATCTTGTCCCAGTTCTCGGTGACGTAGAGCACGACCTTGCCTCCGTGTTTGTAAGCCTCTTCAATCAACTTGTCAATTGCCTTCAAGCCATCATTGGCGGACTCGACAGCCACCACAACACCGTCCTTGATGATCAGGACTGTGCTGGATGCCAGTTTGCCTGCCTTCATGGCCACGTCTCGAACAACTCGTGCGGAAGAGCCCAAGACGTTGGACGCATGTCCGTGGAAGAAATTAAGAACCTTGGTCATGTCCTTCAGAAAGAAGCTGTTGGAGTCGAAAAGCTTCTGGATTTCTCCCTTAAGGTCAATCAGGTATTCTTCGACAAGTCTGATCTCATTCGTAACAGCGTCAGCGATCTCTTGCAGTTCCTGCTGGATGGCCTCTGGAAGACCATTGAAGCGATGCTCCAATTCCCCTTGCCAGAATGCGTAGGTGTCGCCGAGGGTGACGGAAAATTCGCGCTTGAGGAACGACATTCTGTGCTTCAGCTCATCCTGTCGAATAAATGGAATAGGGAGAGTCACTTTAAAATACAGTACTGTAGATTTTTTCTAGCAGATGTGAAAGTCGTCCATACCACGGCATCATTCCAGAAAGCTGGGCGCCAGTTGACCTTGGAGTGGAACACATGGGAGGTGTTGAGCTTGGCCAGAACCAAGGCATCATCTGCAGTGTTTCCATACATGGATCGGCGGATTGCAAACTGTGCCTCACGATCTGATGGCATGCCAGCTGAGAGACTCAGCGTGCGGCTTGGGCCATAGTCCATGTTCAGTTCACCAAAGGGCAGAGATGAGTCAAGCGCCAAGGAGTAGCTGAGTGGAGTGTGCAGTCCACGCTGCGTGTTCAGCATTGCCTTCATTCCTGATTCCAAGGAATTTACCAGTCCGTCCATCTTGATGGTTTCTCCGTCCAGCTCAAAAAGCAGAGCTGCCTTCTGAGCAGAAGGCACCAGAGAACCTTGCAACGCCAGGGAGTGCATTTTCTTGAACCTGGGATCAACAGAGGGCATTATTTGCTGTCATTTATTACAAGTCAGGAATGTAGAATTTTACCTGTCCAGGTAGGATCCCTTGATGCTGGCTGCCTTTTCAGTGTTGGTAGCTCCGAATTCCGTCTGCAGCTTGATGTCCAGGTCAGTGGCTGGGTGAGACACGGATACCAGGATCACTCTGGGGTGGATTTCCTCGGATCCCAGGCCAGTCGTCTTGTAGCTAGCATCATCGGTCCATTGGAAGGTGAAGTCCGAATTCCTGTCGTCGTTATACTGAATCTTGGCATTCAGGGCAGTCACCCCGTCAGCTTGGGACAGCTCAGACTGCAGTGACAGCGGCGAAGTGGCCAGAGGATGGGCAAAGAAGACGTGCAACGCCTTGCTCTCTCCGTTCCATGAGCCGTGGTCTGAGTATGTGGCCGAGAACTTGGAGACGTGGTCATTGTAGTTGAGGTTGCCGTTGATGGTAACATCATTGCCGACGATCTTGGCTGATCCAGAGACACTGATGGGGAATGATGGCAGCAGCACCTCGACGAGACCGCCGTAGCTCTTCTGGGTGTAGTCAGATGTGTTCTTCAGGACCACTTTGTAGCCGACAAACTTGTTGCGCTTCAGCGACAGCTGCACAGAATGTTCAAACTTCATGGATGTCAAAGCGTAGTCTCCTTGCAAGGTGACGGTTCTGGTCGGGGTGATGATCTCGATCAATCCTGTCTTACCAGAGCCGGTTCCCTGCAAATTCAACGAGGCTTGGGGTCAGTTAATCTGCATGGATTATTTTTGTTCGTCTGTTCGATTTACCTCGATGTTGAGTGCGAAGGCGATGGTGGACTCTTGGATAGCCTTGGTGTCCCAGCAAAATTGCAACAAAGCTGTGGTCTTGTCGGTCACGTCCCAGGAGGTCTTTCCAGACACGCTTCTCCAGGGTGTCACAACCTGGACTTCCCGGTTGTTGCCTGCCATCTGATTCACGGTTGCGCTGAACCAGGTTTCTCCATTCACAACCATCATTCCGGAGTAAGCTGACGAAGCTGCGTCATCGGAGGTTGCCGAGAAGCCAAACTTGATTGCCTGAAGCGATTTCCAGGAGCTGGACGTTTCCAGTTGAGCAGACTCGTGAGTTCCGAACTTCTTGTGGAATCCGGATGCAGAAAAGTGGTTCTCACGCAGGACAAACTTGAGGGCCGCATCACTTGAGTCATCATTAACGGAAGTCTTGAGAGCCACCAGGAACTTGTTGACATTTCCGAGCGATGCGCCAAGCTCACCATTGTAGGACAAGGACTCTGGGTTATCCAATTGGTGCACCAATGACAAAGCGATCTGCTCAAAGCCCTGGAATGGGGTCATGAGGGCCACCTTGGCAACGACGTTGTTCCAGGATGAGAAAACATAGTCAACTTCAGCACCGATGGTGGAACCTGGGTATTGGAACTCGACGTGAATTGTCTTTCGTGCGGTCTTCTCGAGTCGCAGAGTGAGTCCGTAGTTGTGCTTCTCCCATGGCGTGTCCACGTCGACAACGATCTTGTACATGCCTGGTTGGATCTTGAGTGCGACGGTGCCTTCATAAGCTGGCTTGTCGTTGAGCTTGAGAGAGGCAAAGGCGTGCCCATCTCGAGGGAAACCCAGGTTCAGCTCGGTGTTGAGAGAGATGCGCTCGAATCCCTTGAAGGGAGTTGTGGCATCGATGCGGAATGCGTACGGAGACACCTTCTTGAGGTGGGCAGACACTCGCAGGTTCTGCTGGCCCGGCCAGGAAACGTCCGCATCAAATGTCGCCTTCTCGTCTGTGTTCTTCAGGGATGCGGTGAGGGCAAACCGAGACTTGGGGGTGCTCAGTGTGACACGAGGCTCGAATTTCTGAGGAAAATGTCGAAGAGAGTAAGTTTAAATCAACACGATAAATTAGGACAAAAAGCAGTACCTTGTCTGCCGACGGTCCGTTCAATGGCAAGTTGATGAGGAGAGCGACGTTTTCGTAGTCCCTGATCGGTGTGGTCACCCTGAAGGACGCATCCATGAATTCAGCATCCCTTCTGAGCTTGGCAGACAGTCCTGCAGCCGGCACGATCCGAGAGCCAGACTTGAAGTCGACGTCCATGAGGAAGCCGTCAGTCATTTGGAGCTTGGCACTGAGGTCTGCATTCGGCAGAGATTCCCAAGGAGTCTTGACATTCATGGAACCACGCATGTCCTTGCCCGTGCTGCCTGCTGACGCCTCATAGGCAACTGAGTACTCATCTTCTCCAAAGACGAGAGAAGCTGATCCTGGAAAGGAAAATGTTGGGGTCCGTTGTGAGAACAATCAGAAAAGTGGGAAAACATGTATTTTTATGACATGACTTACCAGAGGATTCAGTTGTCGATGGGGCATTGCCGAGAACGATTTGGTATGAGGCGCGGATGGACTCTGATGGGAGTGCTGTGGAGAAAAAGGCGAACTCCGCACTTCCAGGGAATCCCATGAAGGATCCGTGGGCCTTGTGGCGTCCGAACATCTTCAAATCGATTTCTCCGTCGAACCCGGAAGCAGTCTTGGTTCCAGTGATCTTGGCAACTTGTCCACTGACGCCATATTGGGGCAATTGAGCGGAAACAGATGTGGAGATATGCGCAGAGGAAAGCTCGTGCTCGAAAGCAATCAGATAGGTTTTTCCTTCGCAGATGCACTCAATGCTGGCTTCGATCGCTTGCTCGGTTGTGCGGTACATGGCCGAATACTTCATGTTGCCTGCCTTGGTCAGAGGAGAGTCGATATCCAGAGTGAAATCCCCGCGTTGACGGGTCACGTCCCAGGTGGCCTTCACTTGATGATGAGCCGAAGGAGTGGTGACTTGAGCATGAAGGCTCTTCGTATCCACGGCAACGTCAAACTGGGCCCTCTTGGAAGTCGGGATGTCAATGAAGCCGGAGCTCTTCACAGTGAAAGTGCCGGGGTTCGACTCGAAGGAGAAACCCGCCGAATGGGAAGCTTCACCAGTCACGGTAGCTTGGAGGTCCACTGACTCCTTGGTGGGGTACTTGGCGTGCAACTTGAAGCTCTTCTTTCCAATGTCAAGCTTGGGCGAGGACAGTTGGCCTTCAGCGGAAAAGTTCTCGGAGTCCAGTTCGTACTTGCCACTCACGCTGTGTTTCTTTCCGTCCAAAGTCAACTCAACTGCTCCTTCCGCGGACTTCTTGGAGTACAGCGAGGAAGACAGGATGATCTCAGTGGGGCTCGACACCAGCAACTTGGAAATGGCATTGTCGATGGCCTGCACACGAGACAGAAACCATTAACCTTTTATTTTCAGGGATTCCGTTTAGTTATGCAAACCTCGATCTTGACGCTGTTGGAAGCAATGGACCAGGCGAGTTTTGCGTTGTACGTTTCAGTTCCGACCTTGGCATCGAAAAGTGCATCCATCTTGCCATCCTGAGTGAAGGAGTGCTCAATGGTGACATCGACGGTTTTTCCTTGCATGAGGCTGCAGTCGAACTTCAGGGAGATTTTCTTGGAAGCAGTACCCAGGTCAAACTCGATTTGAGCCACATGATCTTCTTCCCCGGCATTGCCGAAGTTTCCGCGGAGATCTGCTGATCCTTGGGTCCAGTCATCATTCACCTTTCGATAGAAATTTTTTTTTTCCAGGTTACACGTACCGTGTAGTTGATCTTTCAAAGGGGATTAACAAGTCACCTTGAGCGATCCATAGATGCTGGTGCGGGCAACGCCTGCCAGGTCGCTAGTGGGCAGAACAGTCTCAACCTTGAGCTTGTAGGTTCCATTCTCTTTTTGCCCAATCGCGAGCTTGCCGGAGATCTCTTGTTCATTCAGCTTGGCAACGAATTCAGCGTCAACGAGGCCGTCAGAGTTGCGGGCCAAGATCCTGGCCTCAGCACTTTGCCACTGTGGGAATGGAGTGTTGATCTTCACGTTCCCGTTGAAGTAGGTCATCCTGGTGAGTGTGTTCAAGTCGGTGGACACGACTCCGTGCAGCACAATTGAGTCAAATTGCTCAAAGGAGGTCTTGAGGACAAACTTGGCGTCGTACTCTTCCCCTCGCTTGGCAAATCCGGTTTCAATGGCGACGCTTTGTTGGTCCCACACGGCCCTGCCTTGAGCCTTGTACGCGAATTGGTCTTGTTCCAGGATGGAGGTGATTCCCCAGCTGCGGTCGTTGATGGCAGCTTCGCCATTCACAGCGGTTGATGAGGCGGTGGACTCGATCCCGACGTTGATCTTGGCGAAGATGGACTCGTATGGGGTCCAGGGCGTGGTGATCCTAATTTGGGCGTCCAGAGGTTTCTTCCAGTGGGCACTGACTGACGCTTCCTCGTTGTTCAACATGCCGGAGAGGAACATGTAACCCGCATCCACGTAGGAGCTGTGAATCACAGAAAATGTTCATTAGTCATGTTCATGTTCTTCAGCTGATGTTTCCATGCTGTAAAATCATTGTATAGTCGAACTTCAAGGGACCAGCTCGAATTAGGGAGGTTTCGATTTCGGGGAACGAGGGTCTTTGTTGGGCGGGAATGAAAGAATAAATACAGAAAATTGTAATTGGTGATATAGGGGGCCTTGAATTGCTTCTTGAATGATTTGACAGGATGCTAACCTTGTAGGCGAGGGTTCATTAGCCCGAATAATTTTTAATTCCTTTCAAAACGCATCAGATTTTTCTTGCTTTTATCTTTCCTGTGTCAATAAAATAATAACCAAAAAAGGCTTCAGAAAATTCGAGTCCTTCAGGTTACGGAGGAAGGTTTTTAATGCATTGTTCTCGAAGGAATTCTGACAGGGACTTGAAACAATTTAGACATATGGAGGTTCGAGTCATCGAGGTTCAACATTATACGTGATTTCATGTTACTCACTTGAATGCCATGGAGCCAATCGGAGCCTTGAGGGTTGCATTCACGGAAACTGCGTGGGTGAAATCATACTGCCCAGTGATGTGCACTTGTTCTCCCTTGCCGTATCGGAGGTTGGCGGTCAGCTCGTTGTCTTGGTCAACCTGCATTTCTGCAGATAGGTCCGTGTATCCTTCGAACGGAGTCTCAACGCGCAACGAGTGGCTCTGGCCGTTGGTGGCGTACGTGGCCCTGATCATTTGCGGTGCACCCGAGGAGCCGTGGAACGTGGCGGCAAAAGAGCCAGAGTTCTTATCCATGGATGCATCAACGGTGAAAGACCTGATGACGGGGAACGGCGTGCGCACGTCCAGGTTGGCAATCTTGTTCTCGGACTGAGCATCAAAGCCACCGGTCAGTTGGATCTCTTGGCCGTTGTAGGCTGCGTCCAGCATGGCTGACATCTTGTTTGTCCTCGACACATCGTACTTGGCAACAAACTTGGCTTCTTCCCGCTGCGCGCTGACGAACTTGAGCGTCGACACGCCAGTGAAGCTTACGCCGGCCTTCTTGTACGAATCTCCAGTGATGGAAGCATCTGCGGCCAGTTTCTGTCCATTGATGTTGATGTTGAGGGCGAGGGTCTTCTCAACTTTGTCAGTCGTGATGCCAATCTCCAAGTGGTTCCTGGGCATAATGGCCAACACCTCGGTGGAGAAGACTTGATTGTCGTTCTTCAGGGACAGTGTTCCAGAGTAGATATCCTCGTTGACGGCCAGCTTTGCTGTTGCGGTCTTCTGAGTAGTCTTGGCTGCCAAGTTCCACGAGGTTTCGAGCTACAAAGAAACGTGTATGTTGAAAGAAAGAGTGAAAACGCACGTGGGAAGCAAAAAGCCGCAGCAAACCTGGAAGATGTCGAGGTTGGCGAAGGGGGCCTGTACATTGATGGCCATCTTGGTCTGTTTCCAGGTGTCGTGCTCGATGTTGAAGCTCGCTTCGAGAGACTCTGTGGGCGACCATTGGACTTGGAGACTGCCGGTCGGGTTTGTCTGGAAGTCAAAGTCGGCCTTCAAGCTGATGTTGCTGAGGTCCTCGTGGCTGGACTTGATGTTCAACAGTGCCTTGCCCTGCTGTGCGTGGCTCTGCTCAACTGCACCAGTGATGCTGAAGTGGCCGAAGTTGCCGAGGTCCAGCAGAAGGCTGACGGTCTTGTTGGGCGCATTGCGGCGGAGGTCGTAGTCGACGCGGAGCTTGTAGGACGAGTTGCTGCCGGCCTTGATGGAAATGGTTCCATCAACCCTGAAAGAGTTGGCGGCATCAAGGGCGGCATCGATCTCGTACTTGATGCCCTGAAGAATCACGGAGCCAGTCACGCTCTTCTTCTGCGACTCGAGGTCGTAGGCGACTTCCGCGTGGATTGTTCCCGAAAGAGCTGATTGCACCTTGAACATGGCATTGGCCGCATTGTCTCCTACGAATAAACAACCGGGAAAAAAAACATGAAGCTTTTTGTTTGTTTATTCAATCCTCGCGTGTGATGATAACTCACCAGCGTGTCCCTTGAGTTGGAAGGAAGCCGACTGGCCGAGTTGGACGTCGATGTCGACATTGCTGCTGGCGATGTTGTAGTTGACCTTGGCAGAGCTGGATCCAGTGAACGGAGATTCTACGTTGGCAGTGATGAAACCGTCACCAGAGGCGAGACGCCAGTTGGCAGATGCTGCAGCGGATCCTTCGGTGGTGGAGCCCCATCGTGTGTTCCCAGTTGCGTGACCCTTGCTCACGTTGGCGTCAATATCCAGACTCAGTGTAGTCGGGTGGGCCAGCAGAGTCCGGGACTTGGCACTGACATCGAGCTGGAAGGAGTTCTTGGCACGTGGCACAAAAGCGAGACCAAAGTTGACGTCAGTATCCATGATGTCGGCGTCGAGCTCGGCAACGTATTTTCCCTGATCGTTGGCCAGTTTCCAGGACAGCGTAGAGGCGGTGAGGCCGTCGATGGGCGTCTTGACGCGAATCGTGCCTTCGAGACCTAGTTCAGCCTGGATGTCGATGCGGTCGCTTAAAGCCTTGCCGGTAAAGGTGAGGAACTTGGAGGAGCCGGAGTGCGTGGAGTAGGTAAACTCGGCGTTGGCGTAGGTCCACCAGCCCTGGCCCGGTGCAGAGAGCTTCAACAAGCCGTTGCCGCGCTTGGAAGACACGTTCATGTCAGCGGTGATACCGTATTCGCTCTGTTGTCCATTCTGGCTGCGCCAAGACAGCTTGGCGGTCTTTCCTTCGGTGTCAAGGTTGTAGTTGACGTCACAGTTGACTGCTGGCAGGATCTCGATGCCCATGGGCGACTCGCCGATGATGGACACCTTACCACGGGTACTGCTTGCATCCAGGGACAGTTTGCCGGAATAGATTCCAGTCTGGGACTCAACGACGACATTTAGCCCGTTTTGCTGCTGCGGGATCGAGTACTGGGCGATGAACTTGCCGGCGCCGATCCAGTTGGTCAAGGTGGGCACGTCGGCGTTGACGGACAGCATGCCAGAGTTGGTCGTGAGCTTGGCTTGCGCCTGAACGGAGGCCTTGAAGGCTTCCTTCTGGAACAGAGCTCGGAGCACACGGGACTGTTGCTGCTGGTCGTTGGACTCGAGGCTCACGCGGGCCTGCACGGAGGAGAAGCCCTTGAATGGCGTGTTGGCGGCCAGCATGAAATCGGCGTCGTCGACGAGAACTTTAGCTTCAAACTCCTTGCGGATTTGGTTGCGTCGGAGCGATACCTTGGCAGAGTTTTCGGATCCCTTGCCGGCAAAGTTGTATTCGACTTGGGCACCAAGGGCCTCCCAGCCGGGTGTCGTGGAGTCGGCGGTGATGGATGCGGAGCCCTTCTTGGCATCAAGCCGAGCACTGGCGCTCACGTCTGTGGCCCACGCGTTGTAGCTGACCTTGACACGGGCATCAGCACTGGAATCAGCAGTCTTCTTGTAGTCGAAGCTGGTAGCTGCGGATCCGAAGACAAACTCGGGGGTCTTGATTGCAGCCGAAGCAGCACATGCCTGGGTTGCGTTGGCGCACTGGGCTTCGAGAAGCACCTCGTAGCGGCTTGTGCCATGTTGGAACTCGACAAGCACTTCCTGTGTGTCGCGGATCTTGTAGCGGCCAGTGAGCTTCATGTTTTCCCAGCCGGCGAACGGCAAGGAGATCTCGGCGTCCACGGTTCCATTGGAAATTTCTCCAGCCAGGACAAAGGTGTGAGTGCCCTCAGGTGTCGTGACGGAGGCCTGGATGCGCTTCATGCGGCTCACAAGGTCCCAAGAGGCAGACACTTGGCTCATTTGGGATCCAGTAGTTGTCACTTGGAGCGAGGCTGAGCCGCGGAGTTCGGGCACGATCCGGCCCTGGATTTGCGCGCTCATCTTGTTCACCTTGGCGACGATGTCGGTCGATAGTCCGTCCTTGCCATTGTCGTAGTTGCCGTGCAGCTCAATGTCGATTCCGCCGAAAAGCGGACTTGCGAGCACCAAATGTCCATTTCCTGACTTGGATCCCGCGCGTCCTGTCAAAATAAATAAAAAAATTATACTGTATAAATATTGATGCATATTTAGCGAACGACGAAAAAGAACAAGGATAAATGAGTCCCGAATGAGTTATACTGTACCAGAGAAGCTGGCAATGGTCTTCTTGTCCTCTTTCTCAGCCTCAACAGTGAACTTGTTGTCCTTGGTGGAGGCGAGAAGGCCGATGCGCTGGTAGCCAACGTGCGGGCTCAATGCAGACAGCGACATCTGGTCATGGTCCATCTCGAGCTCAGTCGCGTAGTTGGCGGTGTTGGGGCCTTGGCGGAGGTCGACGGCGGCGCGTTTGCGGCGTTCCTCGTTGGAGTAAGACACTGTGCCGGCCAAGTCTTCGAAGTCGGAGCCGAAGCCGGGCAGAGTTGCTCTAATGTTCAGTTCGCCGTCCTTGATTCCCACTCGACCGATTGTTTCCATTTCTGACTTGACGCCTTCGTTTTCCAAGAAAATCTTGGCCAACTACGACAATCGTAAATCGTTGATGTATGAACGAGATTAGGAATTGGTGCGTGTGATGATGTCTCACCTTTTCGTTGCTAAGCATGTCGTATTGAGCACCTGCAGACAAATTCTTGAACCCGCGGAACGGCGTCTTTGCAGAAACCTTGGCCTGGCCCTTGAGATGAGAGGCATCCCCGGTTTGCACGGAAGCTGCGACTTCGGAGTTTTCCCCGTTGTGATGCAGTTGCAACTTGAGCGTCTTCTCGTCTCGGCTCGTGTCCCAGGTTCCCTGCAGACGCAAGTGCTTGGCGTGCTCGTGGGGCGTCTTCAGCACAATGTCCACATTTGAGTCAGTCGTCTCAATGTCCAGCTCGTAGTTGTCGTTGCCGAGGGAGCAAGACGCCCTTGCGCTGGCGGCCGCCAAGTTTCGGATATCATATGCAGCTGAGGCCGACACCGGGATCACGTTGCTCGGTCCGTTGAATTCCGTCTATTAAAAAGGAAGGAAGGGACTATGTTGATGGAAAATACTGCTCTGTGCAATGAAGTGTACGACGGACTTACGGTGAGGTCGCCGTTGCGGAAAGAGCGGCCGATTTCAGCCTTGGTGAGAGAGGCATACGGACCAGCCTTGCCTTCGATCCACACTCGGGCATTCTCCTTGACGATTCCGGTGGCCGTGGTGAAGCCTGCGTAGCCAATGTTCAAGCTGACCTTGTCAATGTCGCCGACTTGGGTGTCGAGGTTGAGCGCGAACGTGACGAGTCCGGCGTCGAGACTGTGACGTGCCGACACGGCAAAGACGCGTTCGTTCACGTTGACGTCCAGGGAGTATTCCTTGTTCTTTTGCGTCCTGCATTCACCGGCCACCTTCACGACCCAGGGTTGTCCTTCCCAGCTGGTGGTGAGAGCGACATCTGCCTTTCCGCCGAGCTCGTCTCCGCTGAGGTCCAAGGACGACTCGAGGTGGACCACGTTGTCGTTGTTGCGGCTGATGCCGATGCCGAACGTCTTCTTGGCCGAGCTCATGTCGTAGTTGAACGTCACGCCGATCGTCTTGTACTCTTCACACGGGGTTTCGAGTTCCACCTTGGCTGAAGAGATGAGGAAGTCCTCGGTCGTCCCGGAGACTCGCAATTCCACCTTCTTTCCGTTGTAGACTCCCGTGAGGATGCCTGTCACTGGCGTGGATTCTATGTCGTGGCTAGCTGACAACTTCAACTCCAAGCTCGGAATATTGAAGAAAGCCTGTTTTTTTTTAATCCGAGAAAGAGAGATAAAACATAAAAAATTGAGATGGAAAATAAAGGGAAATCGTTTCGGCTTTTGAATACCCTGTACTTTACTCGAGTACTTCAAATACGATGCTCACTTCATAATATTGGCTACAATTTTGAAAAAAATCGTATCCGAGCAAACATACGCACACACAGTTTTCAGTTGCCGAAATTCCTATTTGAAAAACTGATGCGTAAAAATTTAAATCGAATCTCATGTGAAAACGAACCCAATGGCGATTTTTTTCCTTCATTCGAATAATATTATCATTAAACTAGAGAACTCTGAAAACAATTTTGAAGGGAGAAAAAGATTCAAATAGTAAAAAATGTAATGTTATACCCAACTCTGACGCGCACCTCATTTTTCGCCCCAATTCATCTGGGGAAAAAGTGCGCGTGGTACTCGAGTATCTACGATAGTCAAAAAGTGTAATTTTCATGATTGAGGATTGTGAATTATCGGAATGAATTAATCGTCGACTCACAGTGGTCTTGCTGTTCATCACGTTGATCTCCGCGGTCATGCCAGCATCCAAGTAGTTGTGTCCCATGATTTGCACCTTGCCTGCGGCCTGTGACTCGGGCAGTGCAACGAAGTAGTTGAAGTTGGCATCGAGGATGTCCGCCTCTCCTTGTCGCTGCATCTTGAGTTCGAGGGCGCCGTGCGGCACGTCGAAGCGTCCGTTGACAAGGAACTTGTACTCGGGCAGGCCCTGGACTTCCAGGCGACCACTGGCCTCCACGCTCAGCGCTTCAGGGTGTACCTTAGCAACAAACTCGGCCCCAAGAGGCACGGCGTCGCCGGACATGAGGGCTTCAATCTCGTACTTGCCGCCGGTGGATGAGTAGGCCAGCGTTCCGGTCGTCACCTCGTTGTTGCGCTCTAGCTTGACGTCGTGTCGGAGGCCGGTTCCTGACAGGATTTGGTGCTCGTTATTCAGAGAGATTGTCCTGGCGATGGGGAACGGGGTCTTGGCCGAGATGGTGCTGCGCCACGTGTCCCTGTTGACTACCAGGTGTTGGTCCAGGGTGAATACGACGGACTCGCGTTGCTCCACCTTGGCGCTGGTCTTCATCTCGGACTGGTTGCAGGAGTGGGACACTTGAAATTTGGTTGCAGTCATCCACGGGTTGTCCAATGAACCAGAGACTTCGAAGTTCTTCAGGGACCTGTCATCAAAGGAGATTTCAACAAATATTAGAAAACAGCGCATAATTTTTTCACGACTTGGAAGTTTAAGACAGCTATCCTGGCGAGTGTGTAAAACGCACTTTCAATTGCAGCTTACTGCAGAAAATATATTTTCAGAGGCGGGCCGAAAAGTGCAATAATTTTCAAACGAGGCGCACAAAAGATGGGAACTGCAGTAACATATCTCAGAAAAAAAAACTATTTTTATTTTTTAAACTGCAAATGATTTCTGTACGTGGCTCAAAAATTTTCGGACCACCTCGGAAAGCAGATTTTCGTTGGTAAAACGAAGGAACACCTGCATTTCGTTTTAAAATATACATTTAAAAAAAAGTGTGGCAAATATTTGACTGAATCCTTTGAAGTGAGGGAATTTCGCATGTGAAGCGAAAAAACCCTACGTGATTTTAGCGTCGACGTCGAGCTCGATCTTGTCGCCTTCGTACTGGGCCTGGGCAGCAAACCGGGTGTTGCCAGCGTCGCGTCGGAGTCTAAACTTGCCATCGGCGGACTTGCCGAGACACGTGACGGCGAAGTTGCCGCGGACATCGGCGCGTCCAGACTTGCCAGCCACATGGACCTTGAGCGGGTGCCAAAACACGCCGCCGGCCTCGATGACGGAGCTGAAGTCTCGCTTTCCGCTCGCGTTGAACTTGTGCTCGAACTTGATGTCCATGTCCACGGGCAATTCGGAGCCGGAAACGACGGCGTGGCCAGTGATCGTAGTTGTCTTGGATTCCGTGCTCGTCGCACCGTCGGCAACGACCTGGTAGTGCACGCGTCCCGCGCGGATTGCTGCCTTGGCCTTCAGCGCCCTCTGTTTCGTCTGCAAGTAAATACGAAAACGCTGGCTACATTTGATTGTCCTTTTTTTGTGGCTCAGTGACACCAGCAATCGTCGACAAAGAGGTAGAAGACGAGAATAAAACCAAAAACAAAAACGGGGATGCTCACGATTTCGGTGTGGACGGAACCCTCGAAGTGTTCATAGTCAGGGACCGGGGTCTTGACGGTGACACTGGCGCCGACGGTCATGTCGCTGCTGCCGGTGGCGGTATCGTGGTCGACGGACGCATCAACGGACCAGGAGTCCTTGTTGCCTGTGACGAGCTTGGCTGAGACGCGGCTAGCCTTATCAGTGCGGGTGAAACCGGCGTTGGCGGAAATGACGACTCGAGAGCCGACTTCCAGCTCAGCATTGGCGGACAAGTCGGATCCGTCCAGGCTCTTGTTGGCCTCCGTGCGCACGGCGTACTGCTCGTTTTGCCACGTGCCGGACAGGGACGCGGAGATGGCTTGGGTCTTGTCGACGGTCACCTTGAAGCGGGCGTCAGAGTCCAGTCCGAACGAGTGCACGAGCTGGCCGTCAAACGCGATCGAGCCTTCGTAGGTCTTGGCCGAGCCGGAAAAGCCGCGTTCGCCGTCCAACTTGGATTCTACCAGTGTGCGGCCATCCTTGGTCAGCAGAGCCTGCAGGAAAAAGAGGCGGACCAACAAATGAACGGCTGTTGAAATACAGGCGGACTTCCCATTCAAAAAACACATAAAAAAATTAGATGAATTCAGGGGATGGAATGTGATGTTATCGATTTACTTGTTCAAGCAGTTGCTTTACTTATTGATGCATAGTTTTCCGCAACGCATGGCCCGAAAACCTTGCTGCATAAATTTCTTCGTCATTATTGAAAAATTATGTCGCTTTGATTTTTTAACGTTTCATACAGTTTACGTGAGGTTTTTTCAAGCTTTTGTTAAAAGCAACAGTTGGATGAATTCTTAAGGGCTGTTCTCACCGTGGCCTTGAGGTTGTTGCCTTGGAAGCTGTAGTGAATGAGTCCCTTGCCATGACGGATTGCCTCGAACGGGGTCTTCACTTCGACGCCGAATTCTCCTTCGAGTCCCGCCGGCATCACGTGAGACACAACGACAGACACGCGTTGTTCAGGTGCCCACGACACGGATCCGACTGTCGTCTCTTTTCTAGAAAATAAAATAAGGATAAGGTTTGAAAGTACCGAACGTCGATATATGCATAGGAAATCAAATAAACGGGAGTGGAGACGGAAAGAGAAAAAACTCACGTCAAGGCGAGTTCAGCTTCGTACGCGTAACCGGGGTATGAGATTTTGCCGGCGTAGAGTGCGGGCGACAAGATGGCGCTGATGTCGTAACGGCGGTCGGGCTGCCAGGACACGGAGGCGTCCAGGCTCTTGGCTTCATCGCCGTTCCTCATCTTCAAGTCCAGGGCGTACTTGTTTTGGTCGTTGTCGAGGTCGAAGGCAGCAGCCACGGTGTCGGGACGCAGTTCCAGGTGTCCATTGGCGGCGTACTTGTAGCCAGGGCCGCGGATGAGGGCGGTGACGTCATGGGAAGCGTCGCCCTTGGTTGCTACTGACACCGAGCCCTCGTGAATTGTCGATCCTTGTCCAACCTGAACGATGCGAGAGAACTTGTTAAGAGCTTTAAGGAAATGCTTGCAATAAAATACAATTATTTTTAAATTTACATTCATTAGAAATAAGTCAATTGGGGACGGACTCAATTTTTGCCGTACTCCGTAGAATATTTAAATATGGTATTCCCCTTTCAGTTTGACAGGCAATGCTGATTGATTCCTTCCACATTTCATGTAAATAAAATTAAGAACCCTGTTTCGCTTCAAATTCCAGGTGACCCAATAAGAATTAAATCGAAATTTTGAGTTACCAGCAGTGACATCTACCCCGAACCATTACACAGTCGTTATTGTTCAAGTTCGTCATTGTTTCGAAAATCGAAACCTGGAGAGAGACTTTTTGCTGACGTTGCTCGCAAGACTTTTTTTTTTCTCCTTACCTTGACGGAGACGGACGCGTGTCGGCCTTCGGCGCGGAGACGTCCCTGGAAGGTGACGGAGCCGGATTCGTCGAGTCCGGCTTCGAGGTCGAGCTGGTGATCGAGTCGGAGTTCGGAACTGGCGTCATTGTAGGTGCCGACGGCGCGGAACTTGGAACCATCGGGTTCAGATGTGGCGTACGTCTCCAGGGACAGGGACCGATCGTTTCCGGAGAAAAGGTCGATTGCGCCGCGGACTTCCTTGCCTGGGTATGTTACGGATCCCGATGCTGAAACCTGCGATTAGAATAAACAAATGCATCGAATTAAGAGGAAATCGTGACGGAAATTTGATTGAAATAGAGGAAGAGGGCAGCTTTCGATTTTGATAAATAACACGAAGAAATGGAAATGAAAGTCAGAATCCGAAGGGGAACACGCACGGCAGTGGTAGAGCCACTTGACGTATATTGTGCCTCGTGAAAAAGACGACAAAATTATGAAAATAACTTTTGTTCTTGGGAAAAAAGGACCGTCGATTATTTGCGAGAAAATTTCTTAATCTTCTTAAACTCAATTTAACTTGCCCCTACATTTAACGCATCCGCTGATCACGGATCGAGGATTCAGTCGATAATTTCTCAAACATTTTTTATACGTGCACATGCGGCAGAATTACCTTGAATGGGCGAGCGACGTGCGTGAACTTGACGTCAGCCTTGCTTTCCCAGTCCTTGTTGAGCTTCAGAGTACCTTCAGCGCTCAGAACGTCGTCAGAGAACTGTATGCAGACATGAAGCACACAAAAAACAATAAATTATACCCGGTGGCACATGAGTATACAAAACATAGATGATGGAGACACTTGCCTTGGTCTTGACACTGGTGGCGAAATCCACACCCAGCTTCTGACAGTCGGCTCGGAGTCTTGCATCAATCTCAATGCCTCGCGTCGTGTTGACCAGGGCAAACTGTTCCGCCTTCCACCGATACCCGTTCCACAGCGTGGCATCCACGGTGTTCTCAACGTGGCCAGGGCTCGTCTGCACTGTCCAGTCAATCTTGGTGGCCCATTCGGGCACGGCAGTGTTGTCCAATGATGCCTTGAGTTGCGTGGTGGTCAGGGAGCCGACTCGTTGGCGTATGAAGTCCAGAGAGGCGTCCAGGGTCTCGTGAGGCTTCCCGGCGATCGAGTATTTAGTATTGAGCGTGGCACCCTTGGCCGATTCCTCGGCCCTGCCGTACACGTGGAACTCGGCGTTGATGTGGGGTCCGTCCAACACGCCGTCCAGCTGCACCTTCTTGCCCTTGTCTGTGGACCTGGACTGTCCAGAGGCCTTGACAGTGATGGGTTTCCATGCCACGCCGTCGATGCTCAGCTTGCCGTTGAACTTGGACTTGCTGGTTTCCAGGCGTCCGCGGGCACGGAGGGGCTTGCGGCCGTTGATGTTGAGTGCAAAGCTGGGTTCGTGGATGATGGAATCAGAACCGCCACTCGTCGTCTTGACTTGTGAAGCCACCGACAGCAACTCGTCTTCGTTCACGTCGAGCGTCACGTTGAGTGCCTTGAGGCTCGGCGTCCAGGAATAAGCGCCTGTTGCAGCCGCACTGACGACCGGGGTCTGGAGACGCCACTTGAGCTGTCCCTGGGGTACGTCGAGCACGGCGTGGGTGCTGAGGAGGCGGTCCTGCTGCGATCCGGGCGTGTCCAGCTTGACGCGGCCAGAGTAGACCGGGCCGCGGGCAGTGGGCTCTACGCTGTAGGTGTAGTCGACGTTGTAGCTCTGGAACGTGTCGGTTTTGCGGAGGAAAACGCCGAGTTGCGTGTTGCCGGCGAGGAAGAGAGACGTGTCGCTAGGCACGTTGCTCGGCTTGGTCAGGGTGACGCAGGCTTCGATACCAGCAAGGCGAGACAAGGCGTGGCCCGTGCAGGTTGCGGTGGATGGCACAGACTCAGTGGATGACTCGATCATTGAGGGGATTGGGCGGCCGGCGCGGAGCAGCGACACCTGGGTTCCCATCTCGAGGATCTCCATCTTTTGCCAGGGCACGTTGATGCGGGCTGACACGAGTTTGGAGCCGTCGACCTTGAAGCTGGCTGAGATCATGGAGGAGGTGTGCAGGGTACCACGCAGGGACATGCCTGTGCGACGAGATTTGCCTGCCCCGACACTCACGAGTCCATGGATTTCAATGGCAGCGCTATAAACGATGGATATACAATCCATTATACAAGGATTGATCATGTATATAGAAGATGCATACGATCGAAAGTATATGAGAAACACTATACGCTGCTCGCTCATTTTCGCTGCTCCATTCATCAACAGCTGGGAATCTGTCGACATCTTCATTTTGGGACTGTTTCAAACTAGTTCAGGGGCTTGCTGATTTTTAGCAAACAAGAAAAATGGCAAAGATGTTTGTCCGGGCAGTAAGGGGCGACTGAAAAAACTCATACGAATTGAAAGGATATTAAGCTTAAATTGAACTGATTTTTCCGCTCAAACATCTTGATGAACATGAACATACGCCATCAAATTAATTTTGCAATCTGATGTATTAGGACAATCATTTCTGAAAGAAAAAAAAACTTCGTCTTATACTGTAATTGCTGAATACAGCATATTAAATGAAGAAATTCCTTTTTCTTGAATCTTTGCAACAATTTTTTGAGTCATCATACAAGAAGAAAATGTAGGAGCTTAATAAAAGGACTCTTCGTTGCCCCAATGGCCAATACACACCTTGGCTTGATGTCTCCAGAACCTTCAGCCTTTCCATGGGTAAAGAGTTCCTGGGCCTGGAGCTGGCCCTTGGCCAAGAGACGAAGACTGGCAGTTCCGTTGAGGGCCAGGTGCAGCGGGAAACCCGAAGCGAGTGGCACTGTGAACTCGGTGTCCAAAAAGTGGATGTTCTTGGTGAGGTCGATCTCCTTTCCCGACAGCAGGGAGTCCAACAGGCTCTCTGGGTGGATAGCGTCCAGCTTGCCGGTGAGCTCTTGCTTGTTGCGGAACGAGTGGAACATGAGGTCGTTGCCGAATACCTATATATATGCGGGGGAATTGATGAATTGTTTATTGATTAGTAAGAAAGGCGCATATTTGCATGTGCAATACATAAATATACGAGGCCACATAGACGAACAACTCACTCTTGCGTACGCGTGTCCACTGACATCCTTGGGTGCGTCGTAGTAGTGCTTTCCGAGCTCGTCTGGGTGGATCTCAGTCTTGTCTCTGGTGCTCTTGAAAACTGTGCTCACATCCTTCTTGGGCAAGTAGCCATTGTCTCCGAACAAGTTCTCGACGAGCTGTTCCAGTCCTTCCACGCGACCGCCAACCTGAGCAAGAAAAAAGAGACACACATGATTAATTAATTGTTTCGTCTATCTCAGCGCCTAGCTCTTACTGTATTCGGCTTTCTTTCACTTCAATTTTCAAAAAATCTAATCAATATTTCCACAGAAGCTTTCATCGAAAATATATGTCAAGAATCCTTTTTTATTTTTATAATGTAATACATTTTTCCGTTGAGAGCGCATTTTTTATGTGCATCAAGTCTGAATTTTCCTCCACCACGTTGAGCGAGAATTCAAAACTTTAATAAGAATTTGTGCCATATTTGTCTCTTTCAATTACAGTATTTCCGTTCGCCGGTTGACAGATTTTATTGGCCAAACTCGGCAATTCACATGCTGAAACCTGGATAAGAAAGAATTTCAAACGTATATTCATCAATTGTAACGGAAGGCGGAGCAAGAGGTTATACAGTTTACGTCTGCTCCGAATTGAGGAGATATACGTGTACAGTATAAGCGAGAGATTTCGTTCAAGTAAAATATTGATATCCCATAGAAACCTTTGACGTGAGAAAAAATTCGTGACGACAAAAAGTTCGTTAGATTGAAACTCGTTTACATGGAAGACCGCCACAAGGCATCGACAAGAATACCACATTTACGTACTTCAAGCAAATTGACTGCCTCGCCAAAGAGGTGCGCCGTCAGGTTGAGGTTAGCCGACCTCGGCAGGAAAGAGGCGGTGGAGAAGATGACGTTGGACTCGGCCTGGGCGCCGGCGTTCCAGCCGGGCAATCGGAAACCCGCCTCGTAGTTGCGCGAGAACTTGCGCGCGTCCGTGTTGAACTTGTTGCGGAGGAAGTCAGAGGCCAGAAGGTCTCGGGCGTACTGCTTGGACGGGTCCTGGCTCTCTTGCAGGTTCGTCAGGTGGGTCCACACGAACGAGCCAACTGCAAAGGGAGAGAGATTTTTGAAATGTAAGAATAGGCAAAAGGCAAAAAAAAATGCGTCAGAACAATAGAGCTATAGTCTCTCTATATTGTTCGCAGCATGAGACATCACAGAAGGATCTCGTTAAATTTACTTCTCATTTTAATGTTGTCCAAAAATTAAAAATAAAACGCACCTTGGTTCACGGGCTCGGCAGCAAGGACGGCCTGAACCTGGCTCATGAGCCTCGGCGACGGACACCTCATCATGCTAAGGTAGGCATTGATGCGCAACTCAGAGTCCTGCTCGTGGTCGGCAAACAAGTCGGCGAGTTTGGACTCCAAGTCGTCGCGGTCGCAGGGAAGGCGGCGCAGGGCCTGCAGGGCGGCTGCGCGGATCTCAGTCGGAGTCTTGTCTTGCGAAGCGCAGTCCAGCAGAGTGTCGGCATCGGTGATGACGCCCACGTTTCCGAGGGCCTTGAGTGTCACCAGGGCTGCGTCCACGTTGACGTCGGCGCGGTTCTTGCAGGTGTCTCGCAGACGGGTCTCGAGGGCCGCCACGACGGCCTTGACGCCGGCGCTGGTCTTGCCGCAGTCGGGCACGCGTGCGCAGTAGCGGTGGGCCATGGCGGACACGCCGAGCAGAGCTTGTTGCGACGCATGCTTGTCTTCCAACAGTGGCTAACAATGGAAGAAGAGAAGAAATTTTCTCACTTTCCAATATATTGAACAACTGACAAAAGCTACTCAGGACAATTGTAAGAACATTTCGGGACGGAAAATTTACAATAAATGCGCAGCGAGAACGATTACCAAGTGCAGACTCGAATTGCAATTTAAAAAAAAAGAAGAAAGAAATGACTCACAGCTACGGCGGCGATCATGTCGTCGGTCGGATACGAGGTGAAGGCCAGGGACGTGAGCCAGGCTTCGGCGTCCTGCTTCTTCATGTTTCCGGCTGCGATGTGGTCCTTGATGACGGCCACGGCTGGCCCGGTGCCCGCGAGGGAAATGGCATCCAGCAAGATTTTGGAAGCCCGTTCACCGTGTGTCTTGGCCCGAGTCACGGCCTTGTCCAGCGACTTGTGGCCCAACTGCTTGACGAGCGCCACGAGGGAGCTAAAGGCTCGCGGAGAGTCGGGGTTCACTGCTTCTGCCGTGTCGGCTTCGATGCGTCGCACGAGGTCCAGCACGGCGCTGGTTTCTCCGTCCGTCGTCGCCGGGGCGGCGTTGGGCTCGAAAAGCAGGCTCGTTTGTCCGCGGATCTCGGCTGAGGCGACGGACGATGTCCGTTCCGACGAGAACGTGAGCGAGTGGATGGCCACTGTGTTGGCTGCCGTTTGTTGCGCTGCCGACTCGTCGGCGTTGGTGTCCTTGAACGGCGCCAGGGAGTGGGTTTCCTTGCACTCGGACTTTTCCATGCGGTTGCCTCGGATCGTTTGCGTGCACTCGTGGGTACTCCTGTGTAATGCACGAAGAGCAACGGACACTCGGGGTGAATTTCATTTCAAATCCTCAATTTTTTCCAGTTTCAAGATGTTTTCAAATATTACACGTCTGACGTTGGTAACTTTCTTGATTTTATCTCTGTTCTTCACAAAAACATTATATATTATGAAATAAGTATCAAATAACCATTATCATTCGCTCAACTAAACAAGTACAGCTCTTTGATCAGTTGCCGTGCTTTTTTTTAAGAAGTGGCCAATTTACACAGAGAAAAACGCTTCAGTATTTTAATCTCTCAAGACGAATGTAGAGAAGCACGGAACTACCTCGGGAAATTCTCGAAAAAAAAAAACAGTATCTGAACAGAAACATTTTCTGTTTTTTATAATGCTGGACAGGCCCTTCGGTCAATTATTGACAAGAATGAAAAATAATGGAGTTTATACGGGAATTTAAAACCTTGATTATTTTTGCTTTTAATGCCTTTTGATGCTTGAAAGCAGATCATTCGTCATTTCCGCTTTTTCTGAAATATTATTCGCCGAAATAAAAGCTGACGGGATTTGGGAAAAAGGTTTCGGCGAAGATCCTCAGACTTTCTTTGATTTGCTGCATAAATGAGCGAGCGATGACTGCTGAAACGTAATTGTTGAATTATTTACTGATTAATTTGTATTTTTCTGACAAGATGACGAGAAGTCCTTTTTAGCGGGAAAAAGTATAATCTTGAAGAGGATTGAGAAAGCAGAGTTAGGAAGGAAATGAACCCACTGCAAGACAGGCAGGTTCTTGGCGATCCTCGGTCCCGGGTTGGCGTAGGGCACAGAGTCGAGTCCCGCGAGACGGGCGTGTCTTTCGGCACACGTGAGCAGGTCCTTGGTCTTGGTCACACTGGTGGAGTAGATGCCGTGGGAGACGTCGTAGCGGGTCTCGCAGATACCGGCGACGTCCGTCTCCGTCACGATCTGACTGCCGGCGTCCAACTCGTTCATGGAATTTTGAAACAGGGACACCACACCGCGCTTGACGTTGACGACCCAGTCGGCTTCGGCGTCCTCGGCGACGGGGCAGAGAGACTCGACGAGACCGTCCTGCGAAGAAAATGCAATAACGAAATTCCATTAATAAATCAATCAAATCAATTCTCAATTTTCATTTTTTTTGCCTTTTGGAATACTGTATGGTAAAAAATGAAAAATACAGTACTGTACTGTATTAATATAAGTAAGTTCAACATACCTGGAAGGCGAATCTAATCGGGAAGCGTTCGATCGCTGCAGCGAACTCGCCCATGTCCTCGGCCTCGTAAGTGCCCCGAGCATCGCGTTCCTCCAGACGCACATCTCGCATCTGTGTAAAGAAAAGAGAGAAAAACAAAGAAATTTCCATTTAATTTCTTGTCAAATCGTCAAAAAATGGTTTTGATAACATTTTGGTTCGCCTCTCAGCAGCGGTTTTCTTCTTCCACTAGTTTTGCGAGTCAACAATCATGCAAGTAATTTCGAAGCCGCTCCCGTTTTTTTCAATTTTGTAACTCGCTCTATCAGGAGTTCCTCAAGTCTAAGAACTAAATTCGAAAATTTTTTTTCCGCAAAAATACAAAAACTCGAAAATTTCTTTCCATATGATGGGAAATTTTTGAGGTTACTGCTGAAAACTGGAGACTCACAAAACCCACGTCATCAGATAAACATGCATTTTCTCATGAGAAATTCTGAGTATTCTTTGTTTTGCAGGGAGAAAAGTCCCGAAAATGTTTTATCGAACGGGTTTTCCATTTTACTCGCGAGATTTGCATTTTTAAAAAGTTGCCTCTAAGATTAAATGTACAATAATAATCCGTACATGGATCCAATTCGGTGATTTCCTTTGGGACGACGTTAGCGAAAAAAAGGCTTTGAATTCTTCATTCTTTTCCGAAGGAATTTAAAAATTGAGCAACAAGAATTTAATTTTAATTTTGGCTTTTTCATCATGTACCTAATGTTTTTTTTTTAATTTTAACTTTGAAATATATATTGAGGACTTCACGAACCGTGAGAAGGATTTCGCAAGGCGCCAGGACGCTGAAGTCGGCCTTGGCCGTCATCCGCAGAGTGGCATGTTCCTGGTGGTCAGCGTGGATCCGGGATTCAATCAGAGTTTCGTAGTCGTAAACGTAGGTCTTGCCGGGTTCGTAGTGGAATTTGTCGGTTGCGCGGCAGTAGGACGCACACTGGGTCTGCCCCTTGCGCAGGGAAACAGGTCCTATGTGATACGAGTGGGAGGAAGAACATGAGGTGAGTAAAACTGTTTTTTTTTTAAACTTCCTCCGACATCTTGCGCAAATTATCCCGCGCCGACACCAGAAATCTCATCACGGTGCATTGAAAAAGTAAGGCAATAAAAATTCAACAACAGAGATCAGCTAGAAATTGAAGGAACGAGTTTCGGTAATGCATCCCGGTAAAGAAACCAGGGCACGCCTCAGAAAATGGTAGAAATCTTGAATAAATCATCAGGAGAATATTTTTACAATGATCTTGTCAGAAATACAGTACAGTAATTCTATTTTACGTCGAATTCTTTTTCAAAGTCCCACAACTTGAACATCATGCTATTTGAAACTTCAAACGAAAAATGTTTATAATACAGATTTTTTGAAGTTCCAAGAGGTAAAACCCTTTGACAACCAACTGCGGCTTTCCAAGAAAAAAAATTGCTGCTGCTACCAATTTTTTGTACCTGTATTGAGATTCTCTTGAGAAAATTTTCTCGTTTTAAAAGTCGGATTTTTACACCTTCAACCGTAATTTTTTTGTGACCAATTTCCCAGTTTGAAGCGGAATAACAACCAGCTCAGCAGAATAATTAATTTGCCTTTTCATCAGTTAAAATACGATCTTATTTTTTAAACAGTTTTAGATCGATTATAAATATTATACTCTACATTATTAAACATATTATATTCTTGGAGTAAAATTTATTAATCAATTTTCAATAATTTTTCAATTTTTACCCAGCGATATTTTTCGAAGAAATTCACAAATTCCAATAGTTATGAACAGAATGAAAACTGGTAAAATCATGCACCGACAGATAAATTCTTTGTACTGAGTCTGGAAAATTCTAATGAGATTTTTCATCTTTTCCACAAAAGATCTTCAAAAATGTTTTTGAAATAAAAAGCGCATCAATTAAGACTGCATTTTACCCACAAAATACTGTATGCATAATTTTGTGTGCACAAGTGTTGATGAAGGCGCGAATCGATACACGATATCCTCAATTCGAGCTATGCTCTGTGCGCAGTATACCCATCATCATCAGGAGGTGCTGGTGGACTCAGACACAAATGCCATGCATGTCTTGAAAGTGGACCAATAAGGTTGAAAAAACAAAAAACCCTGATCTTGCTGTTGACAGGGTAACATCATCATCACCATGGGGTCGTATCATCTCGCATGCATGTACTCGGCGATAAGCGCAAGTTTGCGGGAGCGCGGGAGATAAAAAGGACCGCGGGATGAGAGATCATCTCAGCTGCATGCTGGTGATGATGAGGGGGTATTTCATACGTAGGAGTTAGCGTGACTCTGCATGGACGAAATTCTCAAGAAGCCATCTTAATTATCGTGGGACCCGGGCTTTTACGGATGATTTACGACACATTATTTTTAAGGTAGACTGTACACACTGTTAAACCTTGATACGCCGATATCATTTGTTTGGGAGGTTTGTGGCGGTTTAACGGGGTTCGCGGGGGTCGTTGGTTCATCAAAAAAGCTAAAATAATATGAAAATGAAGTATACTGTAATACGAGATAAAATTCTTATTCTTCTATAAAACAATCGAAATAACCCCGGGATGCGTAAATCACATGTACGGTAAGTAATGTTCCCAAGAAATACATCTTTGTATTTATTTTTTTATTTTTATTGGAGACATCTTGCAGAAACTTGAATCTTGTTGGCAGGCTATCGAAGAACAAAATAAATTGATAGGAGCATATCAGAGCTGTAGTCTATAATTTTGGCAGATGGCGTTTTAACGGAGTTTCCGATGCCTCTATCATTGGGGAAGATTTGCTTTTCAAAATAAATTGGCGGTTGCCAAGGGTGGCGGCTTATCGGGGGTTGACTGTACAGTACTGTACTCTCATTTTCAGCAGAGGAAGTCTTCATTCATACTGAATTTCGTCGCCGATCAGCAAACACAATTTAAAAGAGCAAATGATTTATGATTGTACACATGCGCCGTCTCTTCTCTAAACATAAAAACCGCACAGACTCGTCTCATAAACTTCAGCGCATGAATTTCACTTCGTTTCACGCAATAGAATTCCTTTGAATAAGATAGAAGGAAAGCGGAGCCGAAAGAAACAGTTTAATTGCCGGGGAGAAAGGAAAAACGAAGAGTTCTCGATTGCTCTGAACTTTACACGGACATTATCAAGGATGGAGATTGAGAATGTACGAATTGAATGTCCATCACCATAAATATAAATTATCATCACAAATGTTCTATTTTTCCCAAGCACTTGTGGTTTAGGGGGGGAATTGTAACACGGCATAGGATGGCGACACTTACCAGCGATTGCGCTACCCAAGATGGCCGCCAGGACGACGATGACGACCCGTGGGTGGTTCGCCATAGTCCCCAGCTTTCCGCGTTCAGAAACTTGTCCTCGAAACAAATTTCACTCCTCTTTCTCTCTCAAAGGTAAAATTTCTCTTCTTCTTCTTTTCAACTTCGCTTTTTTGAATCACTCGAATATTCGTATGAATATACCAGGCTCACAAGATCTCTCTGGGTGGAGATATGTCTAGCCCGTCACACTCGGTAGAAGAACGTTCGTTCCAGTGAAGATCGGAGGTGCAGACGGGAGGCTTTTATACCGACACGGGCTTTGGCCTCTACATTATCTCATTTCTGCCTGCGCAGATGACATCCGCAGAGAAAGAGAGAGAGAGAGAGGAGATTAAGATAAAGTGAAGCTGAGTGCCTCGTGCCTATGAAGATTCCCATACACAGACGTGTGCACAGATGTGTTCGAGAATAGACGCGGTGCTGGGGGTCGGGTTCGGGGTCCGGCCTCCTCATCGTCGTCATTTCTTGCCTGTCGTCGATGTGCAGGTGCAAACCCGCGCAGGCGAAAGATCTTAATCATCAGCATCATCCTGCGACTGCATGCACATACGTATGAGGGTCACTCGTCGTCGTCGTCGTAGTCATCCTGCCTGAGGGCGAAAAGAATTTGCAAATAAACCGCACACTGCAATGAATTCACTTGAGTACAATGCAAACTTGCATAAGACATGAACAGTACCTTTATTTTTGAACAACATACAATCTCAAGCTAGAATATGCGTACCTAGATTTTTAAAAATACAATTTGGCCAAAAAGCAATTCCAGGATAAAAACGTGCACAGAACTTGCTTCAAGCGACACAACTTTCAACATTTAAAGGGAAAATATGATCGTAGGCAGAAATAAATGCTTGATTTGATTGTATGAGATCTGAGAAGTATAACAAACCGAATGACTGAAGTACGATACACGCCTAAGGCAATTATTTCGCAATAGACAAAGCATTTTGGAAACCGTTGTACCTGGAAATGACCCGCACCCTTTTTATGACTTGAAAAAATTACTTCCGTGTGATAAATTTGGTAGGTAAAAACGTACTCAATAATAGTAATGTACAACACCCCTCTTTTCGGTTGCGATGTCAGGGAAAAATGGCATGGGATAGACAAATGAAAAAAGTTCACTTCAAGAATAAATCAGGATGCCCATGTCTACATATTGATGATGTCAAAGTACCATGGCCCAAGAGTGATTTACGGGAGAAATTCCTTCATAACACATTACTTCTCACAAATAAATTTTCAAACAATTCAAAAGGGTTCACAGAAAAATCTTCTTGATAAAAAGATGCAGCATAATATACAAATGTACATTCTCCAAAGTTCCTGGCGGAAAAACCATAGACTTAGAACTACAAAAATGCTGCCATGAACAACTTCTCAAGATTTATTGCAACAAATGTACTTTTCTCAGTGGTTTCCTAATTTTTTTCATCACAATCATCTGAATTCTTGAATTCTGCTAAAAATTGGGTTTTGTGCCTTAATTGGAAGGGATATATTTTGATCTAGCATCAATTACAGCAGTGCAAGAAAATATTACTTGAATGAAAATAACAGAATAACTTTACAAGACCCTCTGGAACACAACATTTTATGTAGGAACTGTGTTACTTCAGGGTGACAACATTCTTGTTGAATTCTGTTTGATGATTTTGTTTTCCAAAGTTTTGCCAAAACAAATACAAAAGCGTTGAACATCTTCTATGCAGATATAATTCATTTTGTTCTGAAACTATCCATCAGGACATAGGTTAGTTGAGAAGTTATTAATTCTTATGGCCAGGGCAACTAGAATGAGAACACTTCTCTTTAGTGTAAGTAAGTAATACTGTATATAATTATTGTAAAACTATCTGCAACAAAGACCAGACCAGCAAATATGAAACAAGTGTTTGGACAGTCCTTTATAGCTTCTGGGAATCAGACAGGAAGGGTACATGACTGCACATAATCTTAAATGAAACCTGGATATCAGAAAGGAAAGTGACCAGACACAATTGAGCAACTTGGTTGCTATCTGTGCATTGTGAAAGTATGTCTGAAAAATACTGCTATGCACAGATAATATTATTAAGGTATGACAGGAAATACTGTACTGAAATCAATGATGATAATGTTTTTATATGAACAGAAAAAGTCAGATTACATTAAATTTTTCCCTGATTTATAAAAAAAATTCCATCATATTTTCAACTGCAACCTTGCTTGCTTACATTTTTTTAGGGTTTGTGCATCACAGAAGTTTGTTGTAGCGAAATTTCCCTGTATTGCCAGATCCCATCCTGGTCAATGGCCTCAAAAAAAAGAAAAGATATCGTCATATTATATAATGAATTAACTCATTTTTCCATAAAGATATAGAAATGCTTCGCTGCTGATGCGAAGAGGGTTCAAGTGCAATAAGCGGCATAACACACACACAGGGCACGAGGCAGATAATATAGGAATACCGCGAATGACTGCGCATCGTTCCTGTTTAAATTCGGGGCCGAAGTCCAGCAGCACGGGCGGAATTTTTGAGGACAAGACACTTGAAAAGTTGAAAGAGGGAGAGAGAATCATCATCAAGATGAGGAATTATCTAGTATCTATATGGCACTCTCACAGTATAAGAAGCATCCACGCATCCCAAGAGTGGAGAAATTTCCCGAAAATGTCGCCTCTCCATCTTGCGTCCTTGTCATCATTGACGTAGTTCGTACAGTGATAGTCATCGCGGGGCCGTCTGTTATTACTAGGCGCAATTAGCGGCTCGAAATGATGGAAGAAGCTTCACAATACGAACCGACACCCTGCTGATTGAGTATAAAAAACGATTGACGACAGCACGATTTGAGGAAACGCTCTTCATAAACATATAAGTCTTCTGCGTATGCGCCAGAACTCCGCCGATTTGACACTCTTTCGCACGCGAGTGAATACTTCCGAAGACGGGCTCAAATATAGACAGTCCCTGTCAGTTAAATTAAAAGATAATCAACATTAATGGTCACAGTTTCGCAAACTTCGAGCAGAACCTAAATAAAATATTGAAATTGCAAGAAACTGAATCCATACGGCCATCGCACAAAGGGTACAGACGCATATGTGAAACAAGAGCAATGCGACATCAGATTAATTCCAAATTTTATTCCAAGCATTCAGTCAGTTCATTCTTCGCGAAATACACTCGTATGACCATTTTAAAAAAAAGTTTATTTTTCTCCCGGAGTTTTCATGTACAGCGATTTAAAAAAAAAGTCTTAATAATACCAAGCGACGAATGGGAGTCGAGCAGCGAAAAAAACAAAATATTATTCATCAGCCGAGAGTAACGGGATATTATAAGGAAAAATGGACGGAACGATGGCGTATTGCGGAGCATCGAGGTATTCGTCGCAGCTCGGGACATTCTTCAACCAGTCGGAGAAGAAGTTTGTAATCGGCGAGGAGGACAATGTCATCACTTTTTCCTGCTGCTGCTGATGGAAGCTGTATGAGATGGAGTCAGAAAAATCTTGCCCGTAGATAAACAAAGTAGCCTTTTCAACCGAAATATCTTGTTCACAGCAGATGCTCTTCGTCGGTGATGCTGATCCTTGCTTGCACGGAAAACCAAAGTGCCTCTGGATTGCTTCGTCGCACGAGAGTGACGATCTTTCGGAATCACAGGTATGATCAATAACCACGAAAACAACGTTCTTGAGGCGCTCGAAATTCCTCAACGCTGGCAGGATTTCTTCAAAATTCTGCGCAAAACAGACCAAGGTGATATGTAGATGAAAATGAGAGATGACGCATCAGCGCATCGGTGTCATTAAACGGAAGAAAAAATTAGGCTGGTAGAGATATTCCCCCCGAAAGGGATTTCATTATAAAATACGATAAAATGTTTGCATAAAATTTAAAATTTTTTTCTTTCTTCATCCCATTTTTCCGGTGAATACACAATGAAGATGCAACCCTACTACTGTATTTGATATAATAATCAAAGAATAATAAATGTTTCTCGCATCACAAGATCTTACTTCAGGGTCGGACATTTCAATCCAAAGGTCTTCCAGGGAATTTTGACTCTGAGCAAGAAAATTCAGGGCGGATACCAGGCTGCGGAGATGGAGGCCCGACAAAGCAGCAAACTCCAATTTTTGAGATATTTGACTCAGGACTTGACACTGAAGGCCTTCCGGCACATGTAGAATCAATCCTCTGAGCTTAGAACACCCACGAAGTTCTTCAAAAACACTTTCCAAGGATCTGGTGACCCTTTTATGTTGAAATGAGAATCCCACACATTCCAAGTTGGCCATTTTCGAATAAGGAATATTTGTTTCCCACAAATCGGCAGAGATGAACTTCAGATTTGCAAGCCATTCTTCGGGGCACTCGGCAAATGCATCAAGTGGCATTTGGTCACTTATTGATGTCGGATCAACGCAGGAAATCCACAGTTTTTCCAATGCAGGCATTTGAGATAAACACAGGACCGCTCTTTCTGGTGTTGACTTTTGCACCCAAAGAGACTTCAACTGTGGTGTTTGAACAAAGGAAATGCCAAATGAATTCATTTCTTATGCGTAAGATGTTGAAGAATGTAAAAGCGAACGTTAAGCTAAGAAATATCAGCTGACTTCGCAGAATTTTACGAAGGATTTTGTTAAAATAATTATAGGAGTTCTCTTCTTTTTCAAGTAAATATTTTAATCTTCTAGATTTTCTCGAGATTTGGTACCAGAAATAAATCAAACCAAAATGAACCGCGTGATACTGCATCGGCATCCTCGAGAAACTCAGGCAAAAAAATCGAATTTTCTAATGAGGCAATTAAAAATAATCGAAGGCGATGCCCAATGGAGAAAAGTTTAAAATCTCTAAAGGATTCCTCAAAAGTAACTATACTTTCACTCAACGAATCTGATAAAATAACTTCACCATCGGAAATAGAACATTTTCCGCATGAAACACGGGCATATTTCGGAAAATGTCTTCACTCGAGCTGAGGGACTCCAAATTTGAGAAAGTTCCCAATTTCTGAGCCAAGGTCCAAGTCGAATGATCCATGAGCAACAAAAGACTCTCGGCATGAAAACTTCGAAGCACACCGGTGCCAAGGAACTGAAGGATTTGCTTTCCACTGTTCGCAGGAACGACAGAAAACGCATCATCTTCTTGGCTCCAATAGTTTTCATAATGAATATTTTTCAAATGCAAGCTCTTCAATCTGCGCAAAAAGAAAAATGGCAAAAAATGAACAAATAAAATACTGTTTACTTCATGCTAATTAACTAACCTGGGAAAAATCAGCCTTAGATCCCCTGCACACTCCCGCTCGACGGAACATAGCATAGTGACTTGCTGGCACATGGGAAGCACAAGCCTTTCATCTTTTGCTTCATGCAGAAACCCCCTGTACATGGGAATTTTCAGTGACTCCAATTTGGCCAAAGCTTTCCCTTTGAGAAATACAGCCAAGGAATAATCATCATTCCAGGAATTAATTTCAAGCGATTTCAAGTTTTTCCAGTCAGCAACTCGAAAGAATGGAAGCGTTGCGTTCGGCGGCGTGTACAGTTGTCGCAAAGCATCATCTTCCATATCAATTGCAACACTCCGAGCATGTCTATATAAAGAACAATTAGTAAAAGTGAGGCTAGTTCACACGTTACATGCTCACTACTTCGAATATAAAAATAATAGATACAGTCTATATATATCGGTACTCGATAGATACTATAAAATGAACAGTCGGTATTCAGCATGCGCAACGGGTCAGGGTGCCAGGCGCACGTAAAATAAATTGGAGAAGGACAGGGATTTGATTTTCAAAGCTATTCCCAATGCAATACAATAATGTGCGTTATTTTCGCCATCGGAGACGTTGTTTCAAACATCCAAGTTTAGACAACACTGCATGGCAGAAGTTTGATACAGTACTGTACATTAAGATCAGTTTCAGAAATAGCTAGCACCGGAATAATTTACTAGAGTCGGGATAATTTACACGTTAGGCCTGTTAATTTTAATTTTTTGATTAGTACAGTACTTGTACAGTAATTCAGGGACCAAGCAGTCCGGGGCAACTGCATGAAGAAAGCTCTCACAAAAATGGATTGCCAAATAAGTTGTACAATACTCATTGGAGACACTCGGGTATTTCGCATACACAAAGCCTTCATACATGCTAGCCTAGAAAACTAACATTTTGGCAAGAAAAGCAAATCACAAATACAAGTCGAAAAAGTTAAAATTCCAACACTAGTTTAAGAATATACTCGATTTAATGTCGACATATTCTACCGCATTGTCGTGTTTCATGTCAACATGTACTTGTATCCTGAACTTATGCACAAAAGCAGGATCGTTGGAAAGTTAAAATACAGATGGACTCTCCTTAAACAGTTTCGTCTACACCGAATTTCCCTGTATATTGAATTGTTTAGTACCATAATGTTCCCTCCCCATGCTTTAGTATAGAATGTAGACAGTACAGTATATAGAGGTTTTCTACAACGAATTGTTCTGCTGTTCCCCTTAATTTCGTTGCAGTGAGAGTCCACATGCACAATATACAATAGTTCAAGAAAAAAAAACCTCCATCGATCTGTTCTCATCAACATTTGAACTTCAGGTTTATAATTTCCACGTGAACTCTCGCTAGAATGAAATTAAAGGGACCAGGGAAAATTCGTTGCGAAGAGAATTTCGCTGCAGAGAACCCCTATAAATAGCACGGGGAGAGAAACTTGTTGAACACAAAATAATTGTAGAGAAGGAAACTCACTTTGCAAAAACGTCACGGAAGTCATCAAAACATCCAAGTTTAGACAACACTGCATGGCAGAAGTTTGATACAGTACTGTACATTAAGATCAGTTTCAGAAATAGCTAGCACCGGAATAATTTACTAGAGTCGGGATAATTTACACGTTAGGCCTTTTAATTTTAATTTTTTGATTAGTACAGTACTTGTATAGTAATTCAGGGACCAAGCAGTCCGGGGCAACTGCATGAAGAAAGCTCTCACAAAAAATGGATTGCCAAATAAGTTGTACAATACTCATTGGAGACACTCGGGTATTTCGCATACTCAAAGCCTTCATACATGCTAGCCTAGAAAACTAACATTTTGGCAAGAAAAGCAAATCACAAATACAAGTCGAAAAAGTTAAAATTCCAACACTAGTTTAAGAATATACACGATTAAATGTCCTCATATTCTACCGCATCGTCGTGTATCATGTCAACGTGTACTTGTATCCTGAACTTATGCACAAAAGCAGGATCGTTGGAAAGTTAAAATACAGATGGACTCTCCATAAACAGTTTCGTCTACACCGAATTTCCCTGTACATTGAATTGTTTAGTACCATAATGTTCCCTCCCCATGCTTTAGTATAGAATGTAGACAGTACAGTATATAGAGGTTTTCTACAACGAATTGTTCTGCTGTTCCCTTTAATTTCGTTGCAGTGAGAGTCCACATGCACAATATACAATAGTTCAAGAAAAAAAAAACCTCCATCGATCTGTTCTCATCAACATTTGAACTTCAGGTTTATAATTTCCACGTGAACTCTCGCTGGAATGAAATTAAAGGGACCAGGAAAAATTCGTTGCGAAGAGAATTTCGCTGCAGAGAACCCCTATAAATAGCACGGGGAGAGAAACTTGTTGAACACAAAATAATTGTAGAGAAGGAAACTCACTTTGCAAAAACGTCACGGAAGTCATCTTGATGTTTGTAGGGAATGCTTGTGTGATCGTTCATCACAAGTAGCTTAAGGTTCGTCCAAATGCCCCCATTCCTCACTAAATCAAAAAATCCTTGACAGACTGGGACGACACTTTTCATGGCTTCCATGGGAGTCAGGTACTCAAAAATGCTTTTCTGGATCAGCCAAGTACTTGAAAGCAGTAAAGAATTCTGTTTCTCCCTCTCACGATGTCCATCATCAGGCAGCAGGAACATCATTCGAAAGAATGCTGAAAAAGATACAAATACAGTAAAATACTTAAGGCGGGACTCCAAACATGGTGCATTACGCTCTCTTCATGATTTAATTATGGTTCAATGAAATTTAGAGGATTTGAATCTGTATCGCATTGGTATTCTTACAATTACAGCACAAATAACGATCTCGTTGTAGTGGATTCTTGTCGACAGCATTTTTCTACAGTCTCTCGCCAAAAAACCACAATGTTATTTGCTGCTCCTTTTCTCAAACTTCGTCAGTTTTCTTGACTCAATTCTTTCTCAGCGGGTGAAAGTCTGCAGTGTACAATTGAATGAGATTCTTCAACAATTCCATTGGCTTCAGAAGTGGACATTTGCTCATTTCACTGGGAAGGTCCTGATTTACTGAGCAGTATTTTCACAGGTTTTACCAGACATTCATTCCCTTTTTTATGAAACTTTTTATCCAACTCCTCTCCTTGCTAGCGAAGTTTTATCTAATCTTCCACCGAGTCCAAACTCTTTTCTTCTTGCAAAACAACACACACGTAACCCCGCAAAAAACGAGAAAATTCCCGTCGCAGAATGAACAGAAAACTATACAGCTTGCCTCACATCTGGCACATCATTAGTCACACTATAACAACCATTTTGGGGGAAAACACACACATTGAGGGTTCTAAATCTTTACAGCTCGGGTGCTTCATGCGTGCAGGCCTCTAGACTTTTTAATGATCCTGTTATTTCAACCCGGAGAAAATACTGCGAAGAATCGGGGTCGTAACAGCTCAGACCACCTGGAGATAAGAAAACTGCGAGAAAGACACAAGATTTTTTGCCCTCTTGGATCAGAAGTACAGTACAGTATGTGCAAAAACAAGGTGTATCCTTGAAGAATAGTTTTCTTTGTAAATATAAATTCTCAGTAAATTTAAAATCGTATTTTCTGAACCTTCATGAAATCCAATTTATTCAGCCGAATTTATCATTAAAACAATGTTCATTCCACGGTGCCAATATAATAGTTGTGCTGCAATAATATTTCACTGCACTTCTTTCATGGAGAAGAGTGTGAGGATTTTCTGTGGGTTCAATTTGTGCATTTCATTAAGGGAAGCAAATTTTCGAGAATTTCACTGAGGTAAAAAGGAGATGGGTCAGTATATAGCTTGTTTCCAAAATCGACATTTCAATTAATTGGGAAAGAACTCACGTTGTTGAAGATAATAGAACTCTATGAGGTCCCCGTGATGCAACGCAAAAATGCGTCCACTCGAACACCGTCGGCAAACCATCTCTTGATTAATGCGCACATTTATGCCCGATTGCTCCAAAAATTTTGCATTCACCTCCAAGAGATATTCTCCCCATGGAACCGCTTCGATAGAGAAAATTCGATTCAAGTGCTCCAGCCTGGAACAACGCTTTTCTACTTGGAATCCATTGATCAATTTGTGAACGTCTGAAGAAAACTATTTGATGAAAACACAGAAGAGTAGAAGCGTAATAAAATTAACTTACGCATGGAAATGCCACCCGAGAACCAATCGCGGCGGAATTTTTTCGAGCAACGGAATGGTTTAGTTTCAGCGTAGTACTTCTCAAAATAGAATACAGCCTTCATTTGCATCCACTCGTCTTTGTTTCCCACCTTTTCAAATCCACTTTTCTTCAACTCCATGTATGAAAGGTCTCGAAGACCATAATTAATCTTCACAAGAAGCGCGGTCATTATTGTAAAATATGGCTCAAGGGACGTATTGCAAAGAAATCTTTGCTGCCCTTCAGCAAACTGAAGTCCTATGCTCAAAACTCTTGGGTTTAACCAAGCTTATATTCTGCAATAAAAAAAAACCGTTCAACATGATTAAAATAACACCGACAAATTTAATACTGCAACAATGAACATTCTCCACTGAACTGACCAACAGCTGGAATGAATAAATTCTGTTTTACAGTATTTTGTTCCTTCTGCAACCATTTTAATTTTCATCATCATGCTAAAAACAGGTACAAAACAAACTTTGATGTGAGGAACATATGATATGATCAAAAAAGTATCGACTAAGAAATGCAAGATTATAAGTATGCCTCAATTCATCAGGAGTTCAAAAAAAAGCTAGACCTTGACAGCCAGCATAAATACTGTGCGATATTTACACAAATATGAAAGATCAATTCCAAGATGCAAGTTGGTATTCTTCAAATGAAAATCTGTTTTCTTGGAATGAACAATAGTTTTTTTTGGAGATGGAGGATATACGCACACACAGCAAACATGCACAGAACAGTAACAACCGAATGTCATTACTTCAACTTCACTCTTTGAATTGTTACAAAACAATACGTCTGATTTTTCCAACAACAAAAAGGAACAAAAATAGATCGATGAAATTTCATTAAAAATAGACGATCCTCGTTAATTTGTGAAATAATTTTTAAAAATGTCAATACTCGCAAAACTCATGCGTATTATATAGAAAACAAAAATCGTTTTAAACAGTTGAACCGGTAATAAATATCCGAAAGAAAATAATTGTTTTTCCGAATAAAAACATCTTGAGCGAAAACTATAGGAAAACAAATCTGAATTGAACGAAAAGTAAATTCAATTGCTTCAGAATCATTCTTCTTACTGCTGTGTATTTTTGCGTCTTATAGAACACTTGCTATGGTCGTTAGAGAAAAACAAGTCTCCAATAAATCTTCAAGGGGTGGTGAACATGTCACCATAGCCCCGCAATACTGTACAATTGTACATAATTAAAAACGAAAATTTTAACCAAGTCGAATTATGGCTCAGAAAAATTAGTGCTGTATATCGTGAAATAATCATCGGATATAATTTTTCATTAGATTTTTATTGAAAAGTTTCTGCCACTTTATGTAAACAGTTGCGGGTTTCATTTTTCGTAAGCCTAAAATCTCAACAAATATGGGCGGAAAATTAAAAAAAATTGAAAATAATCCGTCATTGTTTGACACAGTTCATTTTAAAATCAACAGATCAGCATCATTCTGATCCTATTGGGCATACCTTTTGTTTAACCAAATTGCTGGATAATGAAATTATTTCAAGATGAAAGCTCAAAATTTTGCTTGCTGCTTTATTATGTCCAACTATAATAATAGTAACCGAAATATGTTGGCAGAATTTTAAACTCCACCCCTAGGAAATTTCTCATCTGCCTGCCTTTTGTTAAGGTGCAGTTTAAATAAACTCTCCTATTTCATCAGGTCATCAATTTTTATGATCTAGGTTTTCTTCAAATGACTTCAACAATGGTCGAAAAAAACAATAATGAGAAATAATCCAGAAATTATCAAATTGAACTTCGGCGTTATCATTGAAACATATTTTGCCTCTTTAGTATTTGAAGGATTGTTCCTTTAAAAAACCTGTTTGAACTTTCCCGGTTCGACTCAACGATTCTTTTAAAAATAAAATGTCACACGAAGCAACTGCTGCTGGAGTCGATCACAGTTGTTCAATCAGGATTGTTCTTCAACGACTCGAAGAATTCATCCATGTCCAGCACAGAACGGCCATACCGGAAGATGGACGAAACAATGGCGTATTGAGGGGACTCGAGGGACTCCCAGCTGGTGGGAACATCTTTCAACCAATCAAAGAAGAAGTTTGTGATTGCCGAAAAGGAGAATGGAATCTTCTTCTCCAGCTCAAAACTGTACACAACGGCTTTATAACCGTAGTACTCCGAAACTAGCAGTGTAGCTTGCTGTACGGAAACACCTCCTTGGATTTCCTTCGCTGATGCTCCTTTGTCCGGTGACCCCAGGTACACCTGCATTGCTCGTTCGAATGAGTGTATTGACCTCGTGGGTGTATTTTCGGTAACTACAAGCACAACGTTTTTGAGACACTTGAAATTCCTCAAGGCCTGGAGAACTTCTTCAAATTCCTGCAATGACACGAAGTGAGAAAGTAAGACAAGAAAAGGCATAGAAACACGAGGCAATAATTTTTATTTTGCAGAAGAAGAAAAAAACCACTTATAAATGGTCATTGAAGTACCAGCCTTGAAATAGTCTCTTCAAGTAATTGAAGGAAAAGTCACAATGAACAACTTCGTATCTGCATTCGTCTTTTCCAATATAAATTGTCAATAACACTAGAAATATTTTCCATACTGTATTTTCAAATTACGTTCTAACGATTTTCTTCGTCTCGTATGATTTTACCCGTGGTTTTTCCATTTCAACCCATAAGTCATCCAGAGAACTTTGGCTCTGAGCAAGAAAATTCAGGGCTGATACCAAACAGCGACGATTGGCTCCTGACAACGCAGCGAACTCCAATTTTTGAGGCATTTGACTGAGAACTTGAAACTGGAAACCCCTCGGCACATGTAGAAGCAGTCCTCTGAGCTTGGGACACCCACGAAGTTCTTCAAAAACACTTTCCAAGGATCTGCCGAGAGCCTTTCTATTTTGAAATGAGAATCCCACACATTCCAAGTTGGTCATTTTCGAATAAGGAATATATGTTTCCCATAGATCGGCAGATATGAACTTCAGATTTGTAAGCCATTCTTCGGGGCACTCAGCGAAGGCATCAAGTGGCATTTGGTCGTCATTCATTGATGTAGTAGCATCGCGGAAAATCCACAGTTTTTCCAACGAAGGCATTTGAGATAAATGCAGAACCACTCTTTCCGGCGTTGAATTTTGCACCCAAAGAGACTTCAACTGCATAGTTTGAACAAGAAAAACGCCCAATGAATTACACTTCTATATATACGTCAGACGTTGAACGACGTGTTGAAGATTGAAAAAGCTAAGACCACATATGTGCAGATTACTGAAGGATGTTATCTATACGGTTTTGATCACGATGATGAAAGGAGTTCCTCGTCTTTTAGTGAACACATCAAGATTTTTTTTAATTCTTGGGATTTCTTCAAAATTAACCATCAGAAAGAAGTATTGTAATGCCGAAACGGACTGCATATAAGATACGCCATATATCGTATCACAGGCAAACCATTAAAAAACTGAAGGAGAGAAACTGCGGTAAGAATGGAATCGGTAGTTTTTTCCCCTCGTTATTATATACCCAAAAATCTGAAAGAAACTTCACCTTTGGAAAAATAGCATTCCTTGCATTAAACGCTGGCATGTTTTGAAAAACGTCTCCGTAGAAGCTGAGGGACTCCAGAACCGCAAAAGTTCCCAGCTTTTGAGCCAGGATCCAAGCTTCCTCGTCCATTTTCATTGGAAGGCGTAGAACATACAGACTTCGAAGCACACCAGAGCCAAGGAAGTGAAGTAACTGCGGTATGTCTTGTTCTACGACAGGATACGGTTCTTTCGAGCTCAAACATCGCCCCCAGGCAGGATTTTCGGTATCAACATTTTTCAAAAGCAGTCTTTTCAACCTGGTGACCAAACAATAAAAGACCAGCTCGACACTCAAACATACTGATGAAATGAAACATATATCTCACGTCAATAAATACTAGCCTCGGGAAAATTGGCCTTAGATCTCCTGAATGCTCTCGGTCGAGGGAACATGACATAGTGAGTTGCTGACAATTGGGGAGCACGAGGCTTTCATTCTTAGCTCGACGCAGGAAGCTGTACTGAATCGAACAAGGAATTTTCAGTAACTCCAATCCTGCCAAGGCTTCGCTTTTCAGAAATTCAACCAAGCAATGATCATAATCCCAGGTATGAAGTTCAAGCGCCTTCAAGTTCCTCCAATCTGAAGCTCTGAACAGCGGAATCGTAGCATCCGGCGGCGTGTAAAGTTGTTGCAACGCTCCATTTGAAGATATATCAATCGCAAGCCTTCGAGCATGTCTGAAAAATGTCGTCAATCAAATAAGACTTACCGTCAGTCAAATGCTATGAACCCACAGTTCCGATATTTAAAAAACACACTGAAGTATGAAAAATACCGTGACGTCTAGAAGAACTTGAAATACCTCGCAAAAACGTCACGGAAGTCATCTTGGTGCCCATATGGAACGGGTGTGAGTCCTGCGACATGAAAAATCACACGTAGCTCAAGGTTAGTCCAAATGCCCCCATTCCTCACGAGTTGAAAAAATCGTGAACACACCGCCACCGCATTTTTCAAAGCTTCGGCGGGAGTCAAATACTGGAGAATACGTTTTTGAATATCCAAAGGACATGCCGTAAGCAGGGGCGAACTCTGTTGCTCTTTCCAACGACGTCCATCAGCACCAGCAGAAGGCAACAGGAACATGACACGAAAGTATGCTGAAAATTAAGCAGATTCGTTCATGCAAATGCTACGTGGTGCTATGGCTTTCTTTAAGGCCCGTTTCCCCAATAAGAAATATACGCGAAAAACATTCACGTGCGTCTCAGTTATTTGGGTGCATGACTTTCGAAATTTGTTTCGCGGTGGGTGTCACAGGCGATCTCATAGATGTGTAAAAAAAAAAAAAACCCCCGAAGATAAGATTCTTGATCAAAATACTGCAGTATGAATAGTCCGACACGAGAAGAAACGATATGACGCATACACACAATTTCACCTCACGAAGTCGAACCTTCCGAGGAAAAATTCCTCAGAAATTCTTGGACACTATACAATCTCGATTTAAGGGGGTTTACTGCCAAAATTGCATTAACCTGTGATACGAACTTATGCAAAAATAAAAATCGCAGAAGTTTTATGGAACTTCAACCTAATGAAAAACAATAATATTGCACCGACAAACATTATTCCTGGCAATTGTTCCTGAAAAACAAATAAGAAATAGGAAAGGAGCTCTTGCCAAAGGATCCACCAAAACGTGTTGCGTTTCATAATTTTTTTTCGTAAAAAGAATGATCAACAGTTAAAAATGTTATACGGCATTTAAAAATTGATTAAAAAACAAGAAAATAAGTAAATGCACTCACGATTTCGATCATTGAAGCATTCAATGATGTCTCCGTGACTTAACGGGAAAATATTTCTTCGATCACACTGCAGACACAGCTTTTTATCGTTCACGCGTAACTTTTTGCGAGATTCCTCCAATAGGATTTTGTTCACCTTCAACAGAAATCCTCCGCAAGGAACCGCTCCGATCGAGAAGATTTCATGCATGTTATCTTTCTTTGGACAAGGACTTCCAGATTTCAACCCATTCACCAACTTGTGAGCATCTGGAATAAAAGATTTTTACATGTACTGTACTTCACAGAATATTACAGTGGGTTCCTGCACAACGAAATTATTCCGTTCCTGGATTGGATGTGTTTTTCCGTACGCAGAATTTTCTTAATAAACATTTTCCCATGATTGCAAGATTGCAGCATGGTTCGTACTTTCATTTTTTTCTCGTCAGAAAATCTCCAAAAAACCTTTAAAATTCGTGTGCATAAATCATATGTGCAATAAATGCGTGCATTTTTTCAGAATAAAATTGTGATTTTCAAGTCGGGCAGTATGAAATTGAGTAATCATGATTTCTTTATTGCTCTCAACTTTCAGAATTCCCCAAGTTATATGGACAAGAACGTATAAAAATAAAACCATCTTTCTCATTTTCTCCACTTCTGGGAAAAGTTCCAAAATATGCATTGAAATTCAATAAAATACCGTAAATATTATAATTTTAGCCCTCGGCGTCTATTCAAAGATGTTCCTTCCCTCGGCGTTTATTGAAGACAGGCGTCTATTAGATACCGGCCATTATTGGGAAATTGGATTCTATAGCAGACCGATTTCGTTGATGGAAAAAAATGGGAACACTATAGAAACGTGTAATTCTTCAGAAAATTCTGACATGAAAAATTGCTGCAGGTAAATTATGACAAAGGGCACTTTTAAATCAAACAGCACTTTAATCCATTTTTAAAGGGATTACAAGATAATGGAAGAAGAATGCCTTTCACCCTTTTTAGACCCCCTGTGAAGCCCCCCCCCCCCCTGGCTACTATAATAATAAGGTGTCCGGAATTTTTTCTACAACACTGTACAACACTTTGTGTTGTACAGTTCTTGTGATGAATGGCATGGAATTGGATCATGAACAAATTATTACAGTCCGGGGCGGAAGGAAGTGTTATACGAACATGCTATAAGAATATATTGATGACAACATAATATTACAGAAGTAAATGCGAGGTCCCAAAAAACAGGTTACTGATGTACCTGGCAATTAGAGAATGAATGGAGCAAAAACGGACCCCCTCCCAGCATCCTGGGGAAGGACCAGACGGTTTAATCCTTTTGGGTCGGACAATGTGGGATAAACTAGTAGGAAACCATTCCTAGGACCATAGACACCGACCCCTAATTTTCAAAATTTGCCTGAGCCCCATCCTTTATATTGAAGATTCGTGTTTTTTTGTGGAAAAATGTTGTCCAGTGAAATATTTTTTTATGAATCACTTTTTTGCCCTAGGAATTTTCGTCACGGCCAATTTTTCATTGTGCGGGTCTATCGGTACGCGTGGACTCACTGTAGTGAGCAAAAAAGAAGTAAGTACTCACGCATAGAAAAGTTGAAAAATTTTAGTTGAGATGCTCCACCAGAAATATTCTCATCCGCATCATGATAAGATTCAGCATAGAACACAGCTTTTCTCCGGATCAACGTTTTGTTGTTTTCCGAACCCTCTGCATGAGTGAAGCCGCTTTTTTCCAATTCTATGAAGCGAAGGTCTCGAAGGCCGTAATTCAGCCTTACCAGAAGAGCAGTCATTATTGCACAGTTGACTCGACGACGAGAGAAGCTTTAACCCAGAGGAGATCTTCACTGCATTCCGATCAAATGTTTTTCCTCTCTCATATCGAGCTCCTGAAAACAAGACAGATAGTAATTATGAGACATTGAATAAAACTGTTTGAAGAAATATTAGGAAAGGAACGCGAGAATGTTGACTCCGCGATTTTAATCTCAAACACCCGGAACTGCCGCATAAACTATAGCCTAACAATTCTTTCATTCACTTATTGCTTCCGTGATAATCATGTTTGATCATCAATAAGTCGACACTACCCAAAATAAGAGACACAATTTGTATGCACAGCGTCAAAATGGACAAGAAGACCATCAGTTACTTCCTCCTGTCCGGGAAAACACACCCCATAAACTCGTAAAAAAATTTGTTCCTTCTTAAATTTCCAATCGTGGTGTTTTTCTCGTCTTGTCTCACTCATAAACTCTCAGCAGTTTACAGCTCCGAAGTGCACTTCTTCCGAACTTGAAACCACGTACTTCTTCATTTCCCCCGTTGTTTTTCCTTCGAGGGTAACACGTACAACAACAAACGCTTGGAACAGCCAACGAACATCTGTCGAAAATATATAAAAACACATCAACAAGGATACACCCCTCGTCCACCGGGGAAAAGGAAAGTCGTTTCGGAACAAAATTCGAGGAACTTTGCGGCAGCCAAAATCTGCTTCTCAGAACGGCCATGCGGGCAAATTTAGTTAATTTTTTTTACATTTTAAACTCTTTCAGTGTTTTATATTTCCTGTTTATTGGTTCTTTAAAATGTTGGTCCTTTTTTGGTCGCCCGAGTTACCTTTTCATCAATAACCTGAGAGATCCGCGTGTAAAGTGCAAAACTTTAAGCCCTGCTGACCGAAGAAAGTGAGTGAAAGATTCAAAAAGAGAAGAATTGAAAGCGACTTGTTTGCACGTGTTGCAAAACAAACCTGGATATCATCTGTTGAAGGTTGTGCAATGTTAAAAATAAACATGAATTGGACGCACTGACCCATCTGAAATTGAACGGCGAGGTCAGCTATCGTCGTCATTTTCTGCATAATTGATGTTATCTTAACGTGAGCGAAGTCCGATACCATGAGGGGGCAAAGGGTGAGATTAAAATTTGTTAATTTATGAAGTTTCATAAGGGTATTCATCGGGAGGATGGGCTCGAAAAAAGTTCGCCGAATTTCAGTATAAATTCTCATCCATGAAACATCGATAAAATTTAAGATATTTCACTGTACAGTAATTCAACACAATGCTCAAGCAAATAGAAATTCCCTAGAAATCAAGTCACGAACTTTCTGACAAATCGTCTGTCAAAAATATGACTAATTTTTAAATCAATTCATATTTTATTATTTCGTTTTCGGAAAAGTTCTCGTCGGCAGCCTTTGCTGAGACTTTTCTTTGCAGCGAATCCTCATAATATAACTATGAAAGCTGTGTTAATTTTCCTTGCTTCCAGATGAATACTGTATTTTGAACTTTGAAATGAACACTGTATTAGTAAATCTAAGTATTCCTGATAAGTTTTTGCTCGGAATTTCACACATTTCGAAGACGAGAAGAGACAAAACTACGGCCTCCTTCTGTCATTTTCCTTCATGTTTTAGAAATTCCGAAGCGTTAACTAGAAACCTGCAAAAATGTACGCGTTGTACGCGGCAAAAAAATACGTTCTGAAACATTTTTCTCCGCGAGTCAATTTTTTTCTTCTAAAAGATTCTCGTTATGCAGATTTTTCGTGGCGCTTGTGTTCCGTCATACGCGGGGAATCCTGTATTACAATACTGTATTTGCGAATGTATTTCCATAGTTGGGTTTCAGGATTGGGTATTAGTTGGTTTGAATAACGGGAAAAGAAACGATATTTCAAGAAAGGGTTAGTATAATGGAGGAAAATTATTGCTCAGAATTTATTGGAAATGATTCAAAATGAGATTCAAAGAATTTCGGGAACGAAACTAAATGAACTGCCATTTATGATGTAGAAGCAAGACAGGATTCTCCAGAATTATTCGTGAATAGGCAATTGGAAAAGTTCCACTGGGTTTCCTGGTCGCGGCGATTGAACTGCACTTCAGTTTTTTGCAAGACGCGAGGACATGGTGTGCGTATCAAACTATACTTGCAAATATTTTGAAACTTGGACTTGTCAATTTAAAACTTCTGAGTCCACCGTCAAGGACGTGTTAATATTAATGTGCAACCTAAATAATCCGGTAATTAACAGTAATTGAAATTCAAAGAACAATCGTACAGTACATGAAATAAGCATATTGTATGCATTGCACGATGGAATGTCTCTTTTTCGAGGTATCATTGGCACTGTACAGTACTTTCATGATTACCCGTGGTTGACATATAAGTCAAGCACTAAGCGAAATTGACAAGCACTTCGTATCGTGAAGCATATATGCGAGAACACGATTCGATTAATGCAGCAAGCACTGTAATTAATTTTCCCTGGAAACGACGAACATGTCCAAACTCGCACACCATTATACACCGGCGGAGAAGTCAAACGCGACGGGAACTCAACATGCTTCTCGTATTCGCCTTAATTCTCTACTCTGCCGTGCTATCAAACACAGGTGAGACACCTCATCACAAAATGCTGTAAAAATTCACGACTTATTAAAAAAAAAATTATACACAGCTTACGGGTCATCAGAATGTGCTGATCCCGTTTTTGTGACGCTCGGGGCGAAAGACACGATGAATGCGACGCTCGTTCACCAACCGAGAGGTGAGACCCTGTGTTTCACCATGTACGCTGAGGGTCATGTGGAGGTAGGGAGTACCTTCGGCACCAATTGCTTCTTTCGAAATGAGGCCGGTACAGGTTACACCTACCAGGAAGATCTCAGCGCTCGGGTGAGAGACGAACATCCATTTATTACCGTACTCCATTCATTACCTACTGCAATAGAAAAGCTTGTCACGGAGTTTCTCCAAAAGTTGAAGTTCTCAATTTGTGTTCCGCGGAGCCCTAAGATTTCCGTCTGGGATTCCAAGAGTCTGATGATGGCCCAGGAAAATACCGTCCTGAAAATAAGAGGAATTGCGCTGATAAAATAGTACTGTAAGATCAATTGAGGACGTGAGGATTAGTAAGTTGAACAACTAGGGTATGAAAAAGGAGGACTAGATTACATTTGTAACTCAATTAAACGTAGTCCCCGCTTACCAAGATCCCTACGAATTGTACAATGAAAGTTGCTCCGATTGTACATAAGTTCGACAAGTTTCGGACTAAAACTTCTGAATCTTTTTTTTTTTTTAACAAAAATCGAGGAAATTGAAAGAACGGTATATTTCCTCCTCTTTTTATAGTTCGTGAAATTTGCGAAATTCAAAAAGGATGATGAAAAAAAATTTCAGGATCATCTGAATCGAACGAATCAATTTTAAATACACGAATATGAGCAGGAAACTCAGAATGCTGTAATACGATATGCAGTTGTTACGATTTATTGTCGGCTTTCGGGGGTCCTGGAACAAATTTTTTTAATTTCCGAAGTAACCTTACGGGAAATCGCGTTTCGCACAACGAAAATTCCACAAGACGAAATGCATTCAGGAACAGATTAGTTTCATTATTTGGAGAGACACCGCTAAAAAATATTTACTTACTGTACCTCTGAGGATTCACTATAAAATATTCTGTGTAGGCAATGCTGGACCCGGGACCGGATGTGGAAGTGTCCTGGGTTCCGATGCCGGACTTGACAGTTTCTATGAGTTATCTGAATAGCTTGAAATGTGCAGTAAGAACCTCACTGGCCTTTGCAACTGCGACGGAAACTCTGTACGGTCCCACTTACATTGCTTTGATGGACCATCCAGGAATCGTGAGTTGATTCCGAGACGGGCTGAGGCAACAATTATTTCTTTGTTTTTTTCTTGACCCCAGTTCATTGAAGGAAAGGGCGTCAGGAATTACTATGTTGATTTCTCGCTGACAGCTACCGACACCCTAATCCTGGTCCTGAAGAAAAAATTCGTCCCATCAACCGAGGGTAAAAATAAAAAAATAATAATAATAATTAAATCTTCCGGCACGTCTGAGGGATTCAGAACTAGCTACACATTAACAGCGTATATATGAAGTCTAGGATGCGAACGATTGTGGCAGGTATAATTATGGCGAGGAAAAATTTCGTTATTTTAGAATCAAGGCAATTCCTTTGCCAACAATGGGCCAACAGCACACTCGGAGGCAACGTTCTTCAGCCTTACGGAAGCAGGGATTACAGTTCTAGGATTGCTTGCGCTTCTGCCTGTGCCACGATTCCGCTGTGCAATTCTTTCGGATACAGCAAGGACGAACTTCCGGTAACAGGATCCGCAGGGGCATCAATTACCACCCATTGCGGTCTGTACTCCCACAAGATAATACTGATCAATGAACCAAGCGCGACAGCGGAGTTCCTCTGCTATTGATCTGACGCACCATATCTGCATGTGATGCGTATGCGCATTAAAGCGATTGCGCGACTCCGAATTAGCATTAAAATAGCGGAACCCTTCACTCTGTTCTTCGTGCAGTACAAAATCGAGAGGAAAAACAAAACGTCAACGCTGGATTCAGCTCAGTGTCGGCTTATTTTGGACCACTATACCCATCATTGATACAGTTAATACAATATATAGTCCTTAATATGAAGACGCAATGAAGTGGCTATATCTATAATGGATATACTGTCTAACGGTGGCATTTTAATTTTATTTTTGGCCCATAGGGTTTTCTCCGCATGTTTTAGTAGTTGCCGTTTCTATACAACGATAATTCTTTCCTACAACATATTTTCTCTGGTCCCTTGAATTTCGTCGCAGAAAAGATTCCATCCGCATTTCACGAAAACTTGAATTGAAGAACACACTGAAAACAGAACTACGAAGCTTATCAGCTTCGAAATCTACGCGTTCGCAATTCACAGTGAATTTCCCTTGGTGACGAAGATGCTGTAATAACTCAGCAAGCGGGTAACTCTGAAATATACGAAAAGTCGTGCAGATACATTTTCCATCAGCTGTTGAAGGGATTAGTTTCTGCATCCAGAACATTATTCAGGTGTTCGCCTAACACAGCCGTCATGAAGTCGTCGATGCTCAAGGGATAGTGAAGGTAGGTACTGTATGTGTGGTCAGATTTTATGTACGTAACGGTATAAGTTGAGCGTTCAGAAAGATTTACTTGATTAGCTAATGGGATAGGTCACTTCGCGGGTTCGGGTTGGGTTACGATCACGTTAGTCTGGTTGCTATGGCTGAAGGGCCGTGGATCGTAACAAATTTTCGAACACAGACAATAAGGCCCGAAGGCATATACAGTAGTTTCAACAATTTCACCTCTCACTGCAGTACTGTAACTTTTGTTATGGTATTCATACACGAAGGGAAAAGCCTTCAATACCTCAGTGGAATACTCCGTACACAATAAAAAGAACGACAAAAACGTCTGAACAAACCAAACCGTTTCTTTTCGGGGTTTTACAGTACAGTACATTTCTTTCGCGGCGAGATCGAGACATTGAGAATGGTACATTGCTTACCGCATGTGGACAAGAACTACACCGATCTTCTGCTGGTATGTATCACCCGCCGGATAATTTAGCGAGTGAATCGCAACACTCCGCGCACTTTGGAAGTCTTTATAAGCAACGAACACCGAACAACAAATCGAGGTGGCTGCGCTCAAAAAGGAATCTAAAAAGAGACAAACACGCGTAGCTAAATTCCAAGAAGAAAAAAAACTTCCGCACTTCAAGATAATAAATAATTCATACCTTCTCCGTCAAGAATAAATGCTTTCGACCGTTCAACGTTAGCAACTGCCAAGTGTGCACATGATTCTGTTCATGCTACCGCGCTCATGAATCATATAGGTACATCCCATATCGTCAGCAAAGGGAAGTCGCTCAGGAAGTGCGACTTCTTATCAGAATCAATAATCTATTTTAACTCCTAACGAGCGTTGAAATCTGGAAGTCACATTACGCCTTCATCAACAATTCCAACCAACCACAAGGACAAACTCAGCGGTACTGCAGCAGATCCACGATGACTAACAAGCGGAATTGCCAGGTTGCTACCAGAAAGTCACCTCACTATATCCCATCAGTGACACTCGCGAATTGACATGTCCAATGAGATCTGAACAAAATCGAATGGAACTTGGCATTTCCACGGTGACCTATCCACTTTCCTCAGCTGGTGTATGGGTGGAATCTCAACCTTGAAGGATTGCTGGAATACAGTTCGCGTGTAGAAAATATAAGTACTGTACAGTACATACACATCGTACTTATACGTATGCATTGTACAATGTTTCAATTTATTATTATAGATAAAACACAGAATAATTCAAGTTTTAAAGTAATTTAAAAATGTATTTGCTGCAAGGCAGCTAAAAGTAAATTATGTAAATACTGTGAATGTACATTTTAATATACGGTAAATATTTGTGTGTATGTTACGTATGTATTTTTATTATTTTTTTAACTGATCAGTTTGAATTCCTTGGGTTCTTATTTGAATAAATGTGTGGGATTTGCGCCCACTGTCTAGATTGGACACCATGATACGGCATAATAGAAGTTAGCAATATCACGGCTAGATGTCGCTTTACTTGTACTAGTCAAACCTGCATCAGCATGCAGTGCACACTGGCTTTGATGCCTTCCTATATGCAAGTGTTCGCGCAGTTGAAAAAATACTTTTCAAAAAACCGTATTAATGAGTTCATTCGCTGGCCAAGTATAAAGCTAATTTACGGCAGTGCATTTTACCTCGATATTATTTTGCTTTATTATCTGCAATCGGAAGTTGGCTTGAAATAATGAATATGCTGTATACAGGAGTATGTGGTATTTTCAGGGCTCATTTTCCGCAATCCGAACAGTTTTCTCTGCGTTGACGGCAGGTGCTATGCTGGTTGTTCACATCTGCTCTAATCCGATTCGGGGAATGAAATGGGTGAGATTTCATGGAAGCATAAGGTTAGCGTCATTTTTATTAGTGCAAGGAAGTGCAGCAATGTGAGAAGACTATTATGTCGTGTTGACCGAATTGGCATGATGCGTTGTGCTGCAGGCTATTGGCCGACTGTGTCATTCGCGTTTACAAGTGAGGATCAGAATCTGATCATGCATCTCGGCGTAACTGGACTATCGCTCATCACAAAGTGAGTGTACTTTTGTATACTTCTATATATACATAAATGCAAAATGTATGCATGTGGTTAACTGGTTATGTGTAACAGCGGCTGCAATACGCTTTGCTGCGACCCAGCAACAGTGCTGTATACAGCATTCAGTGCCAAATAACCTGCCCAACACACGCGTCAATAAAAAAGCAAAAAAAAATTGTCCAAAACGAATTTCAGAAACGTGTGCACTTTGAAAATTCCCATCCCAGCGGTTTAACTCGTCGCGGAAGGTGGAAATGTTTTCATGAGTTCAAAAAATTCATTTTTGATGAATCCAAAGTTTGATTTTGTTGCAAATGCAAGTACAGTATTTGAATAGGGAAGATCAACATCAAACCGTTTCATTTATGGGTTATTGTATAATTGAGATGATTCTTTCACCTGAGGAAGATTTCTCATGCTTTTTGATTTGATTCACTGTATATATCAAACTACATGTATAAAATATGTGTGCTGGAATTCTTTTTGGAATTAATTGATTCGTGTTGTGTGCTGGAGGCAGCTCACAGCTCTTCAGCTGCAGCAGTGCCTCCATCAGACCCGATGTATTCAAATAGGCACCACCAAAAAGAAAGAATTCAATTTCCGGACTTCCGAAATCTTTCTCATATGGTCTCTGATTGATATATTGGCTCAATGGTCTCTCCCTGATCGCCAAAATAAAATAACATCATGAATAATTCACATTATAGACATCATGAAACAGTTTCGAAAACAGTCAAAACGGAACTCATGCATCATGAAGTTTCGAAATAAAGCACGCGCGTCGCTTGACCGTGTTAAAATCAAGTTCGGGTTTGCCCAACATCGAAATTCCTTAATTCCAATTGAAAATTAAACGTCATTGCAGGGCTTCTTCCTCTTCTTTTTTTTTCGTTTGATCTTCGATGACCAAGCCAAATGCTTCTTTGCGTATCAGTTATTTGAGTATTTTCTGATCGATGGTTTTTGTGGGATCATTTTCGATGCTCCGTCGCTTCTGGGTGGATGCTTCGGTGTTCTGCTACTGGCTTTCTGTTGAAACAAAGACAAGATATCAGTTATCGATTCTCGTTTTTGTTAATACTGTAATGTGATATTGTGATGCTCTGCAATATGAAAGTGGGACCCCTATGGACGCCCTGACACATCATGGACAATTCGACTCACAGAGGACACTTAAAACTCAGAGAATCTGTCCTGATATCCGCAATGTTTTGAGATACAGACACTGCCAAAATTTCCAATTCTTACAATTTGACTATACGTTGAACAAATTCATCTATTTTTTTCAAAAATTCCAAATGCATTTTATTATAAATTTACTCTAATTTCCAAATTGTTGACAGACAGGAGGACTATTGCATATTTTCCTGTGGAAAGTCTTTGGGAAAATGGGATCAAATATGCACACATTCAGGTATATAAGGCCAATACGTCGAAGAACCAGTTATGTCCGCATCTCGGGGCCCCACTGTAGCTTATTTGAATTTTAGACAACATTGACTGCAGTTGTTGGGGAACCGCGCTGAACTCCTTGTCAATCAAAGAGATGAAATCAAGCAGAAACAATCAGAGGCTAATACAAATGCACCACTGCAAAAACTAGTATCAAAATCTGGAAGTAACAGAAGAATGAATAAATGCATCCTCCTGCTGAAGTTGTTTCAAAAGCATTTGTGAAGAATGTGTGTGTTTGAATCAGGAATAATTCCGCTGATATGTTGTATATTATCAAAACGTATTTTCTTTACTCTGTTCAGTTTATAAGAACAAAAGAAATACAGCTTTTCTTTACAAAAGAAATACAGCTTTTCTTTACAAAAGAAATACAGCATTAGCCTTGAAATCAGAAATTCCACATTTTTTTCAGAAGTCTGCTATTTTCAGACTTCTAAAAAAAACCAGTCAACAAGTGCTGATGGGAGCTAATGCTGTAATAGAAAATACTGTGCTGCAGTATTAAATAAAGTAAATCAACTCTTTCAATTTATCCTACTTCTATGCAGTGGTGCCTTGCCTAACAATCAAATTGACTAATGACCAATCTGCCTAACAACCACTGACCCACCTAGCAAATGTTTGCTGGCCTTCCCTTGAGATAATAAATTTAGAAGAAATTTTTGTATGCTGTTGTTTCTTCCCCTCAACAAAAATGGTTGTTTCTCAAGCATTGTTGTTGAGGGAAAGTGAGAAGAATAGAAGGAAATGGTAATTGCTGGTGATATACTAGGCCTAAAGTTGCTTCAATTACCTCATGCAAAAGTGACATCTATGCAAAGTTATACCGGAGGATTAACTCCTGCTTTGCTCATAGGTGTTGCATATGCATGCTATTAATTTTGTGGGTTATTTTTGAAAGAGAGCAAAGGGATTTAATAAGGAAAAGCATTTGAATGAACTGTAGCAGTGTTTTCAGAGATATGTGCTTTGTTATTTGAAAATTTAGGCAAATTTTTACATTTTTCTGCCAGATTTTTTTTCTCAGGAACCAAGTAATGGTTTTACATTAATCCTTTACAGAAAACCTGACATGCCTTATGACTGTTTCACCCAACAACCACCCAACGCAGGGACAAATTGTGATTGTAAGGCAAGGAACCACTGTACTGATCTTTTTAATTCTTCCCCAATCTGTAAAATATTTTTGTACAAGAATTATTCCAAACATTTCACGCTTCAAGTACTGTATTTACTTGAGTACCACGCGCACATTTTTTCTCAAATTTCAAAAGAAAAAAAGGGTGCGCGTCATAAGCAGGTACAGATTTTTCAAGAAGTTTTAGGAAGTTATGTGTGCATTATACTTAATTATAATGGAGAAATTGGGAACAAATGTAACAAGAAAACATTTTTGTACTGAAAAAGTTGAAAATTGATCAGATTTTTGTTCAATTCACGCCTGAAGTCAAATTTTTTGTTTTCATTTTGAAATTTCATGGTTTTAGATTCACTAAAAATTGGGGTGTGCGTCTTAGGCAGGGATAAGATTTTCGCAAAATTTTCAACTGAAAAACCCCTGTGCATGCCTTACTTGAGGGTGCGTGCGTACTCAAGTAAATACAGTATTTTGGAAATATTGCAGATACAGTATACTATAACAACATATGATGATTGGTTCATAAGTTTTGAGACATTTTTAAATAGATCCAACAGAGTTTCATAAATTCCAAAAAAAAGCCTTTTTTAGTTGAATAGCCGCATCATTTGGCACCACTTGACTTGAGTGCATTACATTCATTAAATCCAACAATAAAAACAGTGCCAGAAATTGAGTTCTGTTTGTTCATCATAGCTGGCACCCAATGCATTCTGGCAGTTGCCAACAGTGAAGAACGACCTGAAAGGAATTGATTTTGAGGCCAGGGGCAGTCTCTCATATTTGCTGACAAGGAGCAGCTTAATCCAGTGTTCGACCCCAACCTTTTTGTGCTCGCAGACGAGAAAATTTCAATAAAATCCTTCACGAACCAGCATATTTTCATAAAATTTTCAGCAGACCTGGAAAGTTCTGTACAATTTTAGATAACCAACAGAAACTTTTAAAATACCTGGTATAAAGTCCTCAGAACAAAATTTGTATTGCAAAAATTAATTTGAGAAGCTGTGAAGCAGCTATAAAGTGGAAATGTATTTTAAAAATAGGATGTTGGGCTTGAGGAAAGGTTTCTCAGGTTGAACACTGCAAGTAACATTTCAGCAAGTCAAAATATGTCTGAATCACTATCAGGAGGAAAAAACCATGAATTCATTTTTGTCAGATAACTTCAAATGCCATTGTCTCCAAAATTTTGGATTGCAATAACTAACTTCATTATACTACTTTCAATAAATTTAATACTTGGAAAATTCCTTCTCCTTAGATAAAAAAAAGTCTCAAAACTTATAAACAAACCATTGTTTATATGTTGAGATAACGTGAATATATGCCTGCAGAAGATATATGATCCCAGTCTGTTTTTTTTGTTAGTTGAAGAACCGCTGTATAATTTCTTTTTTCTTTTCTTTTTGAAACAGTGCAAAGGCCATGGGAAGGACGTGGATCCTTCGGAAGTAGTGTACGTGCAGCCCGTGAAAATCAAGCCAGTCGGGGACCAGATCCCAGCCATCATTGCTGGCAAAGGGGGGTTGCAACTGCCCATCAGCTACCCGCCACCTCCTGCACCCTACTACCCTCCCGTGCACCACTTCCACGACCACCACCACCACAAGAAGAAGAAGAGGAAGAAGCTGTACGGATATGGTTCCAGCAGCAGCAATTACGGTGCTCCTCTGCACTTGGGCAGCTCCAGTAGCAGTGGTGCTGGCCCCAGTGGCTACCATTATGGTGCTCCAGCTGCTCATCTGGGCAGCTCCAGCAGTGGCGGGTCAAGTTACGGTGGGTGACTATATGGTTTCAATTATATTGTATGCATGTATGAGTCAAACCTCTCCAAACAATCGAATTTCAAAGGAACCAGCAAAAAATTCAACTTTATTGGGAGGTTTTGAGTTATGGAAATGAGCACACTTTTCATGGGAAAAGTATATACAGTAGAAGAATTGCAAGAAATGGTAAATGGTGATATTCTGGGCCTTAAACTGCTTCTTAAATGACTTGACAGGATGCTGAACTCACATGCAGAGGGTTATTATTTGCTCAATTATAGTCTTACACTTCTTTACTAAAAATGTCAAGTTACTTTCTTCATTGATTTTATCTTGCCTGTGTCAAGAAAAAAATATCTCAAAAGTTTCAGAAAATTCAACTTATGGAGGTTTACAAGGAAAAGCCTTCCAGATATTAGAGAGGGTTTCAATGCATTTTATTTCTGTCAGGGAATTCAGACAGGAATCTCTTATTGAGATTCACCCATATATCAACAGGTACACCACCAAAGGTCCCAATGCAGGGAATATATGTGTGGTATTCAATCCCCATGTTGCAGGTTCAGTACCCATTTCATCAGGAGCAGGCATACCATATGCCAGGGATGACAGTAACACCTATTATGACAGTCTGGAGTCACTTGGTGCAGATGGTGGGGCAAGAGTTCTAGGAGGAGGAGGAGGATCTCATCAGTTGCTGCAAACCCAGTTGGCATTCTCAGGGTTATCAACTGGAGCAGGATTTGGCACATCTTCGCAATCTCAGGGTTACCATCAGACAAACTTGGAATCTCACCCAGGTGGCAATAAGCGTGGACCCAGACGGCAGTTCAACACACCCAACTCACAGAGTCTGATAGGCATGTACTATATCCTACTTCAGAACTATACTCAGTGCAGAGCTGTCCTATATTTCATAAACTATATAAGCTTTTCTTGGGATATCATCTTTTTCTTTTTAAATGCATTTCCTGCATTCAGGGAGTCCCTTTGTCAACCCTCAAGTGGCCCAAGTACAGGCCCAGGTTTCTCAGACACAGTATGCTCAGCAGCAGCAATATACTCAGCAGCAGAACCCTTTTGCAGTGCACCAACAGCCTCAGTACAATGCCCCACAAGCCAGTTTCAATCATCCAGTATACTCACCAGCCAGCGGGAAATCCATTGACGACCAATGCTTGTGTGTGCCAGCATCACTGTGTGCACTCCAGCACACCTTCGCTGGTGCTGGAAGCAGGGACATTTACGCAGGTGCTGCTGATAATAACAGGCCGGCTAATTACCAGCAGTACAACCAACTGGACCCAAGAAACACGCATCCGCAACACCCTGGAGAAGCCAATAAAGATGCCAGTATTAGGAGGACGAAAAGAGACGCTGGACAGAAAAAGGTCCTGTCAAACTTGACCCCAGCACAACCAGAGTCCGTGAGTAATATGACCTGCTGAAATGAAGAGAGAGTGGAACAAAAAAGAAAGAGTGAGATCAAGTTTTTGCCACTAAAAGTCCTTATTCAACATAAGCTTTGTTTGCCTGTCTGTTGCTGGAAAACTCATCGTGGTGATGGGCCAGCGCTTCATTCATCCTTGTATACAGCATACGCAGTATATATTTTGAGCAGGTGTGAACAGCAGCTGCTATTGCAAGAATTTCTGCATGTTATTATTATGATGTGTGCTGCTGATTATTGCATGATTTATTTCTTTTTTCTCTCTCTCTCCCATGTGGAAATGTCAGCAATCCAGCAGGTTCAAGAGATCCCCTCAGGGAACGGCTTCAGTTGAAATCCCAGCCAGTAGCAGGAAATTAGTAAGTGATGGGAGCCAAGTGATCATACATGACCAGACCGAGAGTCTCTCTCTCTGTATTACTTTGGCTTTTGTAGAATATCGATTAGTGTTTGGATCATACATACAGTATAAGGCTATGCAGCAGAATCAAAGCTGTATGTACAATGAACTGAAGCCCCTCTATTATGATGGCCATATTGTTTTTCCAGAAGGGAGGGAAAGGAGGAGGAGGAGGAGAGGGGTCGTCAAGTGAAAGGGGAGAGAGTGACATAGTGCCTTCCTTTGGAGTGAGTCTCTTCACCAGACCTTACAACACTCAGCAAAATGGACGCCCCTTGTCCATCCTGCCCCAGCTCGCACTCTCAGTGGATGTAGATGAAGGAGAGACTGTGTTTAGACCCAGACTGGAGTTTAATGTGCTTCCAGGGTTCCTGCCAGGTCACAGTGAGGACTTTGGCATCAATGAAGTGTTGGATGGACGGTATGGCACACACCACTCCAATACCTACAATCACGTTCCTCATGCTGCTGGGCCACTTTACCACCAGAGGCCTCACTTTCCTCCATATGCTGGCAGAGGAGCACAATATCAGCATCATCATCATACCAGCAGGGGTCATCATAAATACATCAATAATCATCATCAGGGATACAGACCTTACTCCCAGTTCAGACCTCATCACCCTTTTTACCCTGGGCCACTTGTGCACCATGATCACCAGCACAGCCATGAGTATCATGATGATGATGATGAGGATGATCACTATTACCAATACACCTCACCAGCATCACATCCACCACCACCACCACCACCACCTCCTGTCACCATAGTTCAACAGCCAGTGCTGCCAGACAAAGGCCCCCACTTCCACCAACACTACCACTTGGTCAATGGAAACTATGTCCCCTTGCCACCCGTCTATGCTCAGCAGTACCAGCAGCATCAACCTCTGCCAGGAGGCAGTCTAGCAGAATTGACTGCTGGGACATCGCAGGCTACTGTTGGATTAGCTTCTTTGCCCCTGGGCTCTTCAGATGGCGCCAGTGTAGAGATTCAGAAACAGCTGGAACAGATTAAGCAACTGCAAGACCTCAACAGGTTGCAGCAGCTTTTAGTTCAAGCGCAGAATCAACAAGCAGCAGCAGCAGCAGCAGCCACTGCCAACGTCAACGCCAATAATGAAGCAGGATTCGGCAGTTACAGCCAAGAATCATCACCCATCCCAATCAACATCCCCGTCACAGCCCAGCTTGGAGAAAATGGCGGATTCCAAGGGATTTCCATCGGGAGAAAGGCAGAGGGGAGAAGCGTGAGTGAGGATTCTCAATTTAGCACAAGTGGCAAAATAATCTTTCCAACATCGGATGATGCCAAGGACCAAGTATCAGCACACAGGACATCCAGGCAGGAGACTGATGGTGAGCCAAAGATGATAAGGGTGGGCCGGAAAAAAAGGTCACTGTATGGAGACACAGGACTTCTTCTTCCTCCTCCTTCTCCTCATCATCATCATCATCATCATGGCAGACAGAAGCGCTCTCCACAAAGGTACTCTGACGCAGTTGTTGTTGAAGACTCTGATTATAGACCTGCACCATCCGCCACCAGGCCTGTTGGAGGAGGAGGGATCCAAAGTGAAGCCTCAGTTGGAGGTGTGGGAGTCTCTGGTGGAGTCTCAGGTGGAGTGCCAGCAGTGGGCAACCCTGGGAACCCAATTTCATCTGGAACTCAGAGCCAACCCAACAGACCATTTGGATTCATCACTGAGGCCATCCAGAGTCTCATCCCTGGCCTGGGTCCAGGTGGTGGTGGTGGTGGTGGTCAAGGAGGAGGTCCTAGTGTGGAGAATGGTGGAATAGGAGGAGGAGGAGGAGGAGGTAACAGACCATTTGGCTTTGGCAAAGGAAAGGGACAAGGAGGAGGTGGGCCCATTTTCAACTTCAAGCCTCTGATCATTGGTCAAAGTGTTGCCAATCCCGGTGGAGGGGGAATCAGCAGTGAATCAGGGAGACCCTTTGGAGGAGGAGGGCTTTTTGGCAAGAAGGGCAACAAAGGCGGTGGCAATAATAAAGGCAATGGTGCATCATCAGTAGGCACAGAGGCTGGGGGTTCAGGGGAGCAATCCATTGCTGAAAAGTTTGAGGAGAAGAAAAAGAAGAAGAAGAAGCAGAAGGGGGAGCAGGGCGGGGGCAACCGGGCCAGGTACTCGGACTACATCAGACCCGGCATCGGGGTGAACCTGCTACTCAAGCCCAAGTATGTGCCCCTGGACAGTCATCAAGGGATAGACCTCCTGCCTCAAGTGGGCCTTGGAATAGAGTACGGAAAAGGACGGTTCAAGTACCAGCCCAGAGCGCACCTCAACGTGTTCCCAGCTGGGTTCTTTGGACCCTACCCTCCCCATGTGAATCAACCACCACCACCACCACCACCTCCTTTAAGACCACCACCACCAGGTGGCCCCTTGCTGCCAATTGGCCCAGGTGGAGTCCCAATTCCACCCCCTGGAGCCACTCATCACCATCATCTCCACAAGTACATCCCATCAGGAGGCCTTCCCATTCAATACTCAGCAGAAGCTAGTCAAACTGGCGGATTACCAAAAGAGAGCATCAGCCCAGACACCACTGCTGGTGCAGCTCTGCAGAGCAATCAAGTTGCTCCATCATCATCTCTGAGCAGTGAACAGCAGAGCTTGCAATTGAATTTATCCAGGCTTATAGCTTTACAGAGTGTATTGCAGCACCAGGAGCAGCAGCTGCTCCAACAACAACAACAACAACAACAACAACTGCCAAGCTCAACAAAAGTGGACACTTTGGCCCTCATGCAGATTCTGCAGCAAAACCCACAGCTTTTTTCCTCTCAAAATGGCCTATCAAACAACGTGGCTCCGATAACACCTCAACAAACTTCAAGGTTCCCCTATTCCTCATCAAGCAATCAAAGCATTGACATCAAAACACTGTTGGCAAACTTGAAAGCTAGCCAGCAGCAAGGGAGCAGAAGTAGACTGAGTCCAGCTCAAGAAGAGAGAATCAAGGGCTTGCCTGCTTATTATTTCCAGTCATTCTACCAACCCAATGACAGAGCTTTCTCCAGAAGAATCAGCACTGTTCCTAGGACCAAAAGACAGTCAAAGGCCTCGAGGATTATTTCCTCAAGGGACAGAAGCACGCAGAGCTTTGCTTCATCAGCATTCCCTCAGAACCAGATATCAGAGGCTCTTGGGGTTCCTGCCAACACAGTTCCAGGGTTGACAGCTAGTCAATTGCAGCTCCTGCACCAGCTTTCATCATTATCATCATCATCATCATCATCAACTGCTGCTGGTCATGATCAACAACTTTCCTTGCTTAGTCAGATTTCAAATGGACAACAGACACCAAGTAATAGCTTTCAGCAGGGGTATTTAGGTTTGTCTCCTGCTGGTCAAGCCCAGCAGCAGCAGCAGCAGCAGCAACTTTCCTTGCTCAGTCAGTTATCCAATGTGCAGCCATCAAGCAACTTTCATCAACAGCAGGGCTCCTCATCAGCACCAGTAGGAGGAGGGTTGTCAGCAGGGCAAACGCAACTCTTGCAGCAGCTATTAGCATCAGCCAATCATCAGCATCAGGCACTAGCAGGGGGAAACAGTGTGCATTCCTCAAGCAGTATTAGCATTGAGAGGCCCAGCAACCCACTGGTGCCTCTGTCCCCGGGGGTCTTTTCCAGCCTGGAGACCCCCTTTGAACAGACGAGCAAGCAGGGCACATTTGTAGGGGTCATCAAGGGTTACTTTATCCCCAAACGGTCTCAGAGAAACTTGGAGATACAGAATTATAGCCCTCAGCAGCAGAGTGTAGTCACTGTGGTTAGGGATGATCAACAACCAGGGAAGAGTGTAGTAGCGCTTGAAGTTGGGCCTGAGCTGTGCCAATATGTAACTTGTGAGAAGCTGGAGGCTCAGTGTGGGATCTACCAATTGGCTAGGGTCCAGTCGAATCGAGGCGAGGTGAGAGCCAATGAGTTTCCTTGTCCCAGACTCTGACCTGTGACGAGACAGACGCATTGGTTCAACCAAAAAGCAAAAGCCACTTTAACTTAGCAGATGCAGCAGTAGTAGCAAAGCCAAAAATAAGGGAAGAAACAAATATTATCCTATGGAGGCATTCAATCTTATTCTATCCTTCATCATCATCATCAACAATGTTCTCAATCCCACGTTACCGTATTCTGAACATGGCCAAAAGAACCCGCCATGAGCAAAACATTCTTGCTTGTTGGAAATGTGATGGCGACTATATATAATGAGACATGCTGGCACATATTGGTTGACTGAAAGTGACAAATATTCAACTCATCAGACCAAACAATGGAAATAAAGGGTAGTGTTTTAGAAGAGCTGCCAACAAATAGATCCCTCACTGAACGAACACATGTTGACTGACAGAATAACAGAGTACTGTACTGTATACTTCTTGATAGCTGCTGTTAATGTACAGTACCAAAAGGTTCCCTAACTGCGGTGACGCCATTTGTGAATGGAGTGTGGGTCATGTTTACTGTACTAATGCTTTTTTTCTCGCATGCCAACAGTAATTGCAGGACTGGACGGCTTTCACCAATCACCAATGACATATGGACTACATATATACTGCTGAGCATCACACTAACCTCTGCTGTGGTGACATTGACACAAATGACACGATCCCATGTTTTTCAGTACAGTGCTCTTAAACTGTATGCCAGAGTGATGATGATTGTTTTATTGATGCCATTTCTTATGCATACGTAGAGACAACTTGGCAACACCAATGGGATCTGTGGGGCTTATGAAGTGTGCTGCAGGAATACTGGGATCAATAATAACAGGCCTTCCAGCACCAATAATGGACAATGCGGGGTGCGTTATGCCAGGGGTATCACAGGCAGAGTCAAAACTCTCACATATGCGGATGGAGATGCAGAATTTGGTGAGGAGCAGCATGATGCAGTTCTTTATTGTTTTATTGTTGTTGTTGCTGTTGGTGGTGGTGAACCTGGAAATAATCACATGCATGGGTTTTCTATTCTTTCAATGAAGGTGAATACCCTTGGCAAGCAGCCATCCTGAAGAAGGAAGGCATTGACAATGTCTACATTTGTGGAGGCACTTTGATTGATGATCAACACATTGCCACTGCTGCCCACTGCATCAAAGGGTATGTATGAATCAGACGAATTTGCTGTGTTAATGGAAATGCAGCACTGTTGTTCTGCTGTATGATTTACTGTGCTGACATCAGCAGTGACTTCATCATCTGATGTCCTGGTTTTATTTCACACTAACGCACAGATACAGCCCAAGTGACCTGAGAGTGAGACTTGGTGAGTGGGACGTGAACCACGACACGGAATTTTATCCCCATGTGGAACTAGATGTCTCTGCAGTCGTGCTGCATCCCGAATTCTATGCAGGATCCTTGTACAATGACATTGCCATCCTGAGGCTCATCAGCTACGTAGACTTTAGCCGAAAGTGAGTCACGATAAGAGTCCTTGATTATAGATCCTGGTATTGTACTGTGCAGCAGTACTTGAATGTGAACTAATGCCTTGTGTTCTATATACGTACATGCACAGCCCTCATGTGAGTCCCGTGTGTCTACCGAGCCAGTACTCGGAGTTGCCAGCAGGATACAGATGCTGGACCACGGGCTGGGGAAAGGATGCCTGGGGCAAGTCTGGACAGTACCAGAACATACTCAAGGCGAGTACTGTATTTAGATCAACTCCATAACTCTGAATGCGCTGAATTGTTTTTTTTTTGCATTCAAATAATTAACTTGATGTTCTTTGGAACTTTGTGCTCTATATATATAGGAAGTGGATGTACCCCTTGTAGAGCATCGGGAATGTGAGAATAGATTGCAAAACACGAGGCTTGGGGTGTCCTTCAACCTTCATGAGGGATTCTTGTGTGCTGGTGGGGAGGCTGGCAAGGATGCTTGCAAGGTATGACACTCATCTTCCTAAAACATCATTTTTTAGCCTCATTTATATATATATATATATACATATAATTTTTTTCTTCTCTGCCTTTGTTGCAGGGGGATGGAGGAGGACCTTTAGTGTGCGACATTCAGGGAACTTGGCAATTGGCAGGGATCGTCAGTTGGGGGATCGGCTGCGGAGAACAAGACGTGCCAGGTGTTTATGCCAAGGTTGCCAACTACCTGCCCTGGATAGAGTCAGTCACCAGAAGCACTCTGGGTTAAAAAAACCCAGAGAATATGTTCCCATCCCCTTAATTTATTTGAAGACGAACCGCTCCCGGTTATCATCAGGAGTATATTGTACCATGAAGAATGAGGGGAAAATGTTGCATTGTTCATATGGGAGACGAAAAGTTACCTTAACTCTTGTTGTATTTTTACCGTTTGTTTGTTTTTGAGAGTTACCATGAGATGCAATTGGAAATTTTGAGCTGTTACCATATACAGTAGCTGGCAATGCCAGGTAAGTGGCTGCCAAAAAACTTGAGCCATCACTGTATCATCCATCATTCCCGGTTTGTTTTTGATCTCAAGCTTGATCCTTGACCTCTCCTGCACGAAAACAAACAAAAAAAAAGAATTTCTGCTGCATATGTTTCTTGCCCCGCTGTTTCCAATGTCGTCTTTACAATGTGAACTTCACTTCCGTTAAAAACCAAGAAAATTGACTCGGGTTGAATGAAACTATTTTGGTTTTTCGAAGGCATTGTTTTTATTTATTTATATTAAAACAGAGATCTTCCTATAGCAAATTTAGGGGGCTTTAATCATTTTGCTCAAGTGGTTATGTAATTTTAAGATGTATGCTTTACTGGAGAATTATATGCCCATGCTTTTGATGTTACTGCTATCAGCAAGAAGGAACTTATTAGATTGAAAAAAAACAGCGTGAATTTTTCAGTACTGTATATTTATGCGATATTCAAATGTTTGAAGCATCTCATCATCCTTTTTCAATCAGGTAGAATATGCTATTGCAGCACTTTGTTTTCAGCGCAATAAATGTGCCTTTTCCAGATTATTAATTGTTACATTGACGTTATCTATGAAATGAAATTGTAGAATAGAATTTCCTCGCGAATTTCAGTGTGTATAAGGAGACGCCACTAAACAGGATAGGCACAGTTCAATTTCTTGAACCAAGGAGTCAATTTTAAGATTCCTTGTATTGTACTAATAAACTTTCAAATTTTGTTTATGCTGCAGACCTGGGGAAGACAAATGAGAAAATGAATGCTTGGTACCATCTATTCATTGAGGGTGGTGGAGATGATGCCTATGATACTGTATCAGTAAAGTATTTAATAACGAAGATTTGATCAAATGAAAGAACAAAATCCGGACCTTCCAGGAAGATACTATCGAAACTGACACCAATGAAATGCTTATATCGTTTCGCACTCAACTATTGCCAAAATCAAAATTGAAAAAAACATGAAATAAAACAACAGAACAATAAGAACGGATTCCAAGAACGTGAGTACTGTACTGTGCAGTACAAGAAAGGCACTTGCAATCGTGCTAAGTTTTAACTGCATTTGCATCTGCACTTGCTGCTGCTGCTGCAGTTTGTATTTTCTGCAACACCGGGTTATCCAGGAGGGCTTGTTTGTTGGATGACCGCGACAAAAGCGTTCGCAGGATGCTTTGACCCTTGCCGAGGTCATCTTCAACGCCAGTGTTATTCATGTCTTTCACAATTTCCTCGACGAGGGCCTGGATTGCTTGGCGATTCGGAAACGCCTCGTCGAGCAAACGGAGCAGTTTAGCGGTGTCTTCCATGTCCTGGAAATACAGTACTGTATAGCAAATTCCAAAAGGAGAATCGGTTTCATGTGAGGAGAATCGACAGCATTCGAATGTGCTGTGATGGAAATGAAGAGATTGAGTCTCTCACCCGTTGGTCTGCCAAACTCGGAAAGAGCCCGGCAAATAAGAAGCCTGCTGATGTGACAGACGAGTTATTATTATTATTAGTATTATTGGTGCTGGGAAACCCGCCAATAATTGATTGTCCCAGATACGAGCCCAGTCCAGGGAAAGTCGCATTGTTAGCGTCATTGGGCTGCGGGACCTGGTGCAAATCCAGACGGATGGCTTCCACGAGGTCCCGGAAGCGACGACCGATTCCGGAAGTCGACGAGTGCTGCCCGGATGATGCTGATGCGGTGATTGCCGACCTCAAATGCGGAAAATAAGGCATTGAAGTTGAGGAGGAGGGATTGGATTGTACGCCGTGCTCTCTGGTGAACAACTCGTCCCAGGTCAGGAGGTCACGATGCTGGCTGCTGCTGCTGCTGCTGCCATCACCGTCATCATCATCATCACCGTCATCATCAGTTGACCCACCATGGACGCCCATCAGTGGTCCTTCTGAATAATCCTCGGGGTACATTTCCGTCATCTGCAATATCCAAATAGAATACCAAGTACTGTATACAGCATTTTTGGCAGGTATCGAGGAAAAGAACGAAAGAAAATAAGAAAATCGAAAGCAACAATAATAAGATCGGGGACAAACTTGAGCATCAGGGGGAAATTCAGTAGTTGCTGGCAAAAAGGTGGTCGTGTCTTCGTCAGTTTCCGCAAAAGTCGTCAGCAGCTCCTCAGCCTTTATGCACACGGAGAAACAATGAAAAATAAATAAATAAATAAATAATTACAGTCGAAAATATGGGTGAATTATTACGGTTCATTTCAACATTTATTCTACGAGTTCACCATTTATTTAACGCAGATGTGTATGCATCATTTGTCTAGCGATATTTTTTCTGACGCCAATTCATTTTTTTAAATTTTGGTCTTTTGAAAAAACAAAACCAATCAAAGTATCAGAAAAGTACTGCATGCGTAAAATACATCCTCAATCTAAATGCGTGTTTTTTGTTTGTTTCGACTTGAAACCCTCACGTACCTCAGTTTGGGTGAATAAAATCGATTCGTTGGTGCTGATGGTGGTGTGGTCGTCTGATGATGACGACGTTGAGGATTCAGAAGTGCAGGGCAATTCTGTGCCTTCTTCTTCTTCTTCTTCTTCCTTTTCTGGCTGTGGAGTTCCTCTCGTCGTCGTCGTCATTTCCGCAAATTGAGTTGTTGCTGTTGTTGTACTTTCCAAAGAGACAAGATATTCTTCTTTTTCTTCAGCTCCACTATCCCGGGCTGCGTGCTCATCCTCGTCTCATCGCCCTGATCGACATCAATTTTCTCAAAGATCCTCAGTTTCACCTATTTTGCATCACACAAGCAAATTAAAAAAAAAAACAAGTACTGTATAGAAGAAAGCGACAATTTTTATTGCTGTCTGTAGATTGGTGTAAAATGACGTTGTTTTACTTCTTTTTCATCACGGCGCGTTATCGTTGAATCGTCATCAGTGGTGCCACTGCTGGCGGTAGTGTCGTCACGCGTCAGTCGTCGTCGTCTGTCTGTTTTCCAAAGGCGGCGAGTGTCAGGAAATGCCTCAACGACATCTTGACCGAGACTCAGTCGGGATTCGTGGAAATTTACCTGCGCGGGGATGAACGTATTCCGGTTTATTATTATTATTATTATCGTGGGGAAATGAGGGTGGTAATGATGATGAATTGATGACTATGAGTGCTGTACTGTACGATAAATGACTGCAGCAGGGCTGACGTCTATCGCCAGAGTTATGCAACAGAGATGGGGAGAACCTACCATGGACGAGGCAGCGTACAAGTCCTGTTCTGTTATCGGGGCCACGACTTCTTCTTCTTCTTCTTCTGCACTGCTTATTATTGGTATCACGGTGGCTGCTGTTGTGTCTGATGATGATGATGTAGTTGTTTGTAAATCAAGCGGTGGACGGTGTTGAGTCGTTGATTCATCATCGTCACTTGTATCCCTTTCGAGCCCCTTATTCTGCTCATCATCATCATCATCCATTTTCTTGTTTTGCTCTTGATCAATGTCCGCAAAGTAAGAGTACAGCGAGAGTCGTTCCGCGTCCACGTTGTCGACAGGAACACTTGTTTCTTCCTGCTGTTGCTGCTGCTGCTGGGTTGTTGTTGTTGTTGTTGTCGTCAATAAAGAAGAAGAAGAAGGAGGAGGAGGAGTGCTGCTGATGATGATGGTTGACACTTGGTTTGGAAATGTGTCTGTTTTCTCAGTAGCAGTAGCCGACAATAACGTTGTGGTATTTGGCTCATCGTCGGATATTGAAACCAGGTCTTGTTTCTCATCGTCGATTCTTTCTTCCTTCTCCTCATCCTCCTCCTCCTCCTCCTCATCGTCATTGTCATCGTCAAAAGCAGCAAGTGGTGTTGATGGTGTTGGGGAATCTTCTTCTTCTTCTTCTTGCTGCCGGTGATGAGGAGGATGATCCAGCATCATCATCACTGATGCTGCTGCTGCTGCTGCTGCTGCTGTAGTGCTGGGCATGACTGGTTCGTCAAATGATGGACTCATCGTTTCCGATTCAATAACAATGAAAGGAAACAACCCCGTCGTTGTTTCAGGCGGTGTTGTTGGTGTGGTGCTATCCGTCATTTCCTCATCATTATTGTCCGGGTGACGAGTCGAGGAATAGGAATAAGACATGATGCTGCCCCAGGTACTCCAGGTGATGGGTGCAGTTGACCCCTCATCCACGTCGACGTCATCATTCGACGTGATAATGGGCATTGCGTCCCTGTCATGCACTCTGTTGTCGGGATAATAAATGGTGGGGGTGGTGGTCGACCAGTGAAGATCGGCAGTAGCAGTGGTTGTGGACGACGGCATTATGGTTTCATCGAGCAGGTCTAGGTCATGATGAGCAGCAGGTACATCAGAGCTTATTGGGGTGACTTCATTGGGTTCTGCTGCTGCTGACGCACAGGTCGTGTTTCTGCTGCTCGTGTTGCCAATTGTTGCTGTTGTTGTGTCTTGCGGAACAGCAGCAGTAACACGGGCATCGTCGTCGTCATCAGCATGTGGTTCCGGCGGGATCCCAGACAAGTCCCAGTGGAGAAAGTGTCCAATGGTTCTGAAACCCGGCCAAATGTCGAATCCCTTTGCCAGCAGCAACTCGCTCACAATCTGTTTCGTTGTTATAGACAGTACTGTGTACATGTACATGTACTATAAACATATATGCCAGAAAAGTGCGTGCATGCATGCATGTGTTTACAGTCATTTAAAATATACGATACACATGTGTACAGTATATACATTTAGAAAATATTTTTCGGAAACTGCTGCCTCATCGATTCATATCTATA